GGGCGGGCCCGGGCGTGGGCTGTCTCTGGTTTATCCAGCAGTTTGCTGCGCCCCTACTGTGCGCCGCCCTCCCTGGGAGTGGCCCAGCGGGAGGAGGGCGCCCCACCTCCAGCCCAGGAGGGGCCTGCCAGGGCCTGCCCCTCGGCCGCCGAGTCAGCACCGAGCAGCCCCGGAAATCCCACGGAGGCCAGCGCGGGGGAGGAGTTGTGATGAAAGATGGGGCCCCGGGTGGGTGTGGGCCGAGCCCAGGGGACCCTGGCCGGCAGGGGTGGGAACCTGGCTGGCGTGGGGCTGGGGCTTCCCGGAGGAGGGGAACGAAACCACCGCCTCCGGAGGCGTGTACCGTGTGTCGGGCGCACAGTGGGGCTTCAGCACTTGGGGACTTTCTACTGCCAAGACTTTGCAGCGCCCCCGAGGGTGCCCTGCCTGGGCCCGGCCTCCCCCTTTCTCGCCTCGGAGGGAGGGTCTTCGGCCTTTTCCTTAGGGGAGGCCTCCAGGAGGCCCAGGTGGGGGCAGTGGCGCAGGGCGTGGCCAGCAGGTGGCTTGTGTTCCTTGAGTGAGGGTGTGGGTCAGTTGTCTCAGAGCGAGTTTAGTTTCCAGGGTGAGGGCAGGGCCTTGCCCTGAGTGGGTGGGGGGCCAGCCCCTCCATCATTTTCTGGCCCCCAGCCCCAGGGAGTCAGCCCTGCCAGGCACCCTTAGGCTGCAGGCCTCTCTGGGCCCCGGCGTTCTCATCTGTAAAACGTGGCCACGGTCCTCTCGTGGGAGCTTTCCTTGGCTGACATCACCCGGGGCCTGACTGCTTCGAGGGAGGGCCTCAGTGATATTTAGGGGGGGAATAGGGACCCAAGACAGGGTCCCAGGCTGGAGAGGGCAGAGACTGGGACCCCCAGACCCAACCTGGAGATGGAATCTTCACACCGGTGGGGTCTCCTGGAGGTGACTCAGCCACCTGGATTATTTTGGGCCCATCCTCCAGGACCCAGGAAAGATAGCTCCCAGCCACTCCAGAGCGGGGGCCTTGGTCACCTGAGGGAAAGAGTGGCCCAGCAGGCCCGGGGTGGCCATCTTGGGGCGTTGGTGGCCTGGGTCAGAGGTCTGCCCCATGCAGGGGTGGGCAGGAGGGCCCGGGCCCGTCTGATCCGGAGCTCCATCTGCTCACGCGCTCCCCGCGGCCCGGGGCCAGACGGCAGATGGTGGCAGGGGGTGGACACCACCAAAGGGGGCTCCTCAGAGGCTTCCTAGGACCGAGCCTTGGGTGGGGTCGCCCCCCTCCTGCCCTCCCTGCTCCCAGCAGCCACATCTGAGCCCACCGCCCCACCACAGGCCTCGGAGTGGACGGGGGCGCTGAGCAGCTGGGCCCTGGGCCGAGGCTGGAAGGAGGGAAGGAAGGCGGGTGGAGGGGCCTGGGGAGCGTGGTGGCACTGAGCAAGCTCACAAAGGCCTCTGTGTCGCCCGGCAGCTCAGGCCCGGCGCTGAGGGCCCCGGGCTTTGGGTCCGGCTGGACCGACACTGTGCCTCCCTCGTGGGGCCTGGCTCAAGCTCGTCAGCGTCAGAGCCTGCCTCGGCTGCCGGGCTGGGGGACAGGAGGGTCCGGTGGCCTGGAGGAGGCTGTGAAAGGCCCAGCTCAGGCCCTCTCCCCAGGGGCCTTGCCCAGAGGCTCTGGCCCGAGAGCCACTGGCCGGCCTGGAGGAATGTGAGCTGTGCTGGGTGACTCGGGGCAGCCGGGGGCTCCCAGGAGAGGGCGGAGGGGTGGGGACAGGGGCCAGAGGGTTGCACAAGCTCTGAGTGGGTGGATGAGTCACAGCCGAGGGGAAGGCGGAAAAAAGGGAGGGGGAGAAAGGGGTGGGACAGACACAGTCCCCCCAGGGCCCAGCACTGCCCGAAACCTCTGCCCATTTGACAGATAGGTAGACTGAGGCCCAGAGAGGGCCAAGGCCTTGCCTGGGACTGAACAGCTCAGCTGGGGTGGCTGAGAGTTGAGGAGGGGCTGCCAGGTGGGCCTGTGGGCAGGCAGGAGGTGGCTAGGGGTTCCCCCAGCTCCCTGCTCTTCCCGGGCTACAGCCCGCTCTCTGTTACTCACAGCTAGGGCTGAGCCCTATGCTGGGGGATCTGAGGGGCAGGAAGGGGTTTAGCCTGCAGAGTCACTGGCCCTGCCCGGACGGGGCACACCCACGATGGCCTTGACCTCTTCTGGGTTTCGGCACTGGGTCCCTGTGCCTGGGCTGCCACACCCCTTCCTGCTGACTCAGAGCCCCCTGAAAAGGACCAGGCCCCACCAGGAGGCAGGAGGCAGGGCTGGGGAGGCCAAGGGGTCGGCTCTTAGGTCCACCCCCGGTTTGAGTTCAGACGCAACTGTGGCCTCATGGTGGGGCCTCGGGCAAGTGGCCTCAGCCCATGATGGAGTGGGTGTTGCTGGTGGGGTTTGGGCGGAACCGGCGGGAAGTACGTGTTATGTGTTGTTGTTGTTGTTGGTTTTTTTTTTTTTTTTTTTGAGATGGAGTCTTGCTCTGTCACTAGACTGGAGTGCTGTGGCACAATCTAGGTGGCTCACTGCAGCCTTCACCTCCTGGGTTCAAGTGATTCTCCTGCCTCAGCCTCCCTATAGTTGGGACTATAGGCGTGAGCCACCACGCCCTGCTAATTTTTTGTTAGAGATGGGGTTTCACCATATTGCCCAGGATGGTCTCCATCTCTTGAGCTTGTGATCCACCCGCCTTGGCCCCTCAAAGTGCTAGGATCACAAGCGTGAACTGCCGCGCCCGGCCAAAGTAGGTGTTTTGTAAAGGTCACTGCGTGGCCTCCCCTCTGTATCGGCCGAAGCCCATGCTCAGACCAACAGGAAAATGGCTCAAATCAGGGCACTTTTTTCGAGCACCTACTGTGTGCTCCTGTAGCACCTCGGAGTGCCCTTTCCTTATTTATTTATTTATTTATCCAAGAAGGAGTTTTGCTCTTGTTGTCCAGGCTGGAGTACAATGGCGCAACCTCGGCCTCCCAGGTTCAAGCGATTCTCCTGCCTCAGCCTCCCGAGTAGCTGGAATTACAGGCATGCGCCACCACGCCCGGCTAATTTTGTATTTTTAGTAGAGACGAGGTTTCACCATGTTGGTCAGGCTGGTCTTGAACTCCCGACCTTACGTGATCTGCCCACCTTGGCCTCACAAAGTGCTGGGATTACAGGTGTGAGCCACAGCGCCCAGCCCTTTTTTTTTTTTTTTAATTAATTTATTTATTTTTTTGAGATGGAGTCTTGCTCTGTTGTCCAGGCTGGAGTGCAGTGGCTCCATCCAGGCTCACCGCAACCTCCGCCTCCCGGGTTCAAGTGATTCTTCTGCCTCAGCCTCCTACTCGAGTAGCTGGCATTACAGGCACGCGCCACCATGCCTAGCTGATTTTTTTTTTTTAAGATGGAGTCTCGCTCTGTGGCCCAGGCAGGAGTGCAGTGGTGCAGTCTTGGCTTACTGCAACCTCCATCTCCCGGGTTCAAGCGATTCTTCCGCCTCAGCCTCCTGAGTAGCTGGGATTACAGGCGTGTGCCACCATGCCCATCTATTTTTGTATTTTTAGTAGAGATGGGGTTTCACTGTGTTAGCCAGGATGGTCTTGATCTCCTGACCTGGTGATCCGCCCGCATCGGCCTCCCAAAGTGCTGGGATTACAGGTGTGAGCCACCGCACCCAGCCTAATTTTTGTATTTTTATTAGAGACAGGGTTTCACCATGTTGGCCAGGCTGGTCGCTGGTCTTGAACTCCTGACCTCAAGTGATCTGCCCACCTCACCCTCCCAAAAATGCTGGAATTACAGGTGTGAGCACCGAGCCCGGCCTCAAAGTCCCCTTTGAACAGGCATTCCCGGGGGTCGTCCTGGGAGGGGTGGTGCCAGTGTGCCTGTGACACTTAAGCGCCCAGTGTGGGTTTTGCCGGCATAATCTCACGCTGATGAGACAGAACAGGGCATCTGACTGCTCTTGGGCACAGCTGGGGAAACTGAGGCTGGTGGGGGGCAGGACACCTGACTGTCCTCATGCACAGCTGGGGAAATTGAGGCTGGAGGCAGGACATCTGGCCGCCTTCGTGTACAGATGGGAAACAGGCCGGGAGTGGGACACCTGATCACCTTCCTGTACAGCTGGGGAAACTGAGGCCGGGGACAGGACATCTGATTGCTTTTGTGCACAGCTGGGGAGACAGGCTGGGGGAGGCAGGATATCCGACCGTTCTCATGCACATCTGGGGAAACTGAGGCTAGAGAATAGGACATTTGACTGCCCTTGGGAACAGCTGGGTAAACTGAGGCTGGGGAGCCAGGACATCTGGCTATCCTCATGCACAGATGGAGAACTGAGTCTTGGCCGGGCGCAGTGACTCATGCCTGTAATCTTAGCACCTTGGGAGGCAGGGGCGGTTGGATATTTGAGGCCAGGGTTTTTTGTTTTGTTTTGTTTTTCTTGAGAGGGAGTCTCACTCTGTCGCCCAGGCTGGAGTGCAGTGGTGCGATCTCACTGGTTCATGCCATTCTCCTGCCTCATCCTCCCAGTAGCTGGGACTACAGGCCCCCGCCACCATACCCGGCTAATTTTGTGTATTTTTTAGTAGAGACAGGGTTACAGTGTGTTAGCCAGGATGGTCTTGGTCTCCTGACCTCATGATTCGCCCGCCTCGGCCTCCCAAAGTGCTGGAATTACAGGCGTGAGCCACCGCGCCAGGCCGAGGCCAGGGTTTTGAGAACAGCCTGGCCAACATGATGAAAGCTCTTCTCTACTAAAGACACACCAAAAAAGAAAAGAGGCTGGAGGCAGGACATGTATCGCTTTGGTGCACAGCTGGGGAAGCTTGGGCTGGAAAGGCGTGACATCTGACCGCCTTCACGTGCAGGTGGGAATCGAGGCTGGGGAAGCAGGGTGGAGCGCTGCTTCTCAAGGGCCTGGGGCCCTCGTCAGTGGGCACAGGAACCCCCGCACCCCGACTCACGAACACCCTCTTCCTCCCCACTGCTGCAGGTCTCGGCGCGGAAGATGGCCGGCGGCGTGGACGGCCCCATCGGGATCCCGTTCCCCGACCACAGCAGCGACATCCTGAGTGGGCTGAACGAGCAGCGGACGCAGGGCCTGCTGTGCGACGTGGTGATCCTGGTGGAGGGCCGCGAGTTCCCCACGCACCGCTCGGTGCTGGCCGCCTGCAGCCAGTACTTCAAGAAGCTGTTCACGTCGGGCGCGGTGGTGGACCAGCAGAACGTGTACGAGATCGACTTCGTCAGCGCCGAGGCGCTCACCGCGCTCATGGACTTCGCCTACACGGCCACGCTCACCGTCAGCACGGCCAACGTGGGTGACATCCTCAGTGCCGCCCGCCTGCTGGAGATCCCCGCCGTGAGCCACGTGTGCGCCGACCTCCTGGACCGGCAGATCCTGGCGGCCGACGCGGGCGCCGACGCCGGGCAGCTGGACCTTGTAGATCAAATTGATCAGCGCAACCTCCTCCGCGCCAAGGAGTACCTCGAGTTCTTCCAGAGCAACCCCATGAACAGCCTGCCCCCCGCGGCCGCCGCCGCCGCCGCCAGCTTCCCGTGGTCCGCCTTCGGGGCGTCCGATGATGACCTGGATGCCACCAAGGAGGCCGTGGCCGCTGCCGTGGCCGCCGTGGCCGCGGGCGACTGCAACGGCTTAGACTTCTATGGGCCGGGCCCCCCGGCCGAGCGACCCCCGACGGGGGACGGGGACGAGGGCGACAGCAACCCGGGTCTGTGGCCGGAGCGGGATGAGGACGCCCCCACCGGGGGTCTGTTTCCGCCGCCGGTGGCCCCGCCGGCCGCCACGCAGAACGGCCACTACGGCCGGGGCGGAGAGGAGGAGGCCGCGTCGCTGTCGGAGGCGGCCCCCGAGCCGGGCGACTCTCCGGGCTTCCTGTCGGGAGCGGCCGAGGGCGAGGACGGGGACGGGCCCGACGTGGACGGGCTGGCGGCCAGCACGCTGCTGCAGCAGATGATGTCCTCGGTGGGCCGGGCGGGGGCCGCGGCGGGGGACAGCGACGACGAGTCGCGGGCCGACGACAAGGGCGTCATGGACTACTACCTGAAGTACTTCAGCGGCGCCCACGACGGCGACGTCTACCCGGCCTGGTCGCAGAAGGTGGAGAAGAAGATCCGAGCCAAGGCCTTCCAGAAGTGCCCCATCTGCGAGAAGGTCATCCAGGGCGCCGGCAAGCTGCCGCGGCACATCCGCACCCACACGGGCGAGAAGCCCTACGAGTGCAACATCTGCAAGGTCCGCTTCACCAGGTGAGCTGCCCGCCGCGGGGGTGGCGCCGCCCTGCTCCCTGCCCCGGCATCGGCCACTCGCAGGCCCCTCCGCGCCTCTCTCCCTGCACCGCACGCACACTTGCACGCAGACGCACGGACACACGCACATGCACACAGACACATACACACACACGTGTGCCACGTACAGACGCACACACAAGACACGCAGACGTGCAGATGCATATATGCACATGCACACAGACTCGTACACAGACACATGCATGCCACATACACACAGACACGTGCGCACGCAGACACGCACACAGACTCACACATGCATGCCAGGTACACATCCACACACCCAGACGCACACACGCACATGCACAGACATGTACACGCACATGCACACACATGCATGCCACTTGCACATGCATACAGACGCACACACACTACACGTGCACATGCACAGATGCACATGCGCACACACATGCTACACAGACACATGCAGACACATGCACACCACATACACATGCACATACAGACGCACATGCACACACACGTGCACACAGACACGCACATGGATAGACATGCACACAGAAACATGCACGCAGGCACACAGACATGTACATGCACAGACATACACACACATATGTGCAGACATTGCAAACATGCACCCACAGACATACATGCACACACATGCACACAGACACACCTCACCTCTTGGGCCCAAAGCCACTGCTTCCCTAACCCACGTGCCTGTTAAGAACAAGCTAGACTAGGCCCTGCCCTTGTGTGTGGACATCCCGGTGGGTGACAGCGCAGGCCAGACATAAGATGACAGCCAGGTCATATGCAAAGCGTGCCGGACAGGGTTGAGCTGCGGGAGGTCTCGGGAAGGTACAGTCGCTCTTCCTCCCTGGAGGGCTGATTCTTCTCTTCTGCACTTTTGGATGTTTTTCTGTTTCTGCTTTGGGAGAGGGTGACAGAACCTCAGGCTTAGGGAGGGAGAGCCCAGGCTGTTGAGCGGTTTCTGAGTTTCCCGTGAGCCTGGGTAATTTGCTTCAATCAGCCAACATTTATGAAGCATCTGCTGGTGCCAGGCCTGTTCTAGGCGCCGGGGACAGGCCTTGCTGGAACCCGAAGGAGCTGTAGGAAAGGGCGTTCCAGGCAGAGGGAACAGTCAGTGCAGAGGCCCTGAGGCCAGCTCAGCTTGAAAGATCACCGTGCCCCTGTGGGAGCCACGGGGCTTGGTCCCTAAACAGCAGGAGTTCAAGGCCAGGTCGGGGCAGTTTGCGATTTGGTCTCAAGAGTCCAGAGGTGGCTGGCTAGGCCTCGTAGATCCCCATGGCTGTAGCGGTGGGGGCAGGGGGCTGACAGGCAGGGACCTGGCCAGGCCGGGTGACTCAGCACCACCCCCTGCCCCCCGCCCGCCCTGGGGTTCCCCCAGCCACGCCCACCGAGGCTGAAGAAAGAGGCCATTGTCCCAGCTTCCCAGCCGCACCCCGTAGGGACAGGAACTGGGACTGACCCCTCCCCAGCACCCCGGCCCCCTCCCCAGCAGGCCAGGAGAGGAGGGTGCGGCCTGGACTCCGGCGCCCAGGAGTGCCAGGCAGGGGGCAAAGGGCACTTTGGGAGGCAGGCAGTGTAGCTGGTGGCTTACTCCTCCTTGGTGAGGTTGGGGTACTGGAGGTCTTGGGGGGCACCTCTTCCTCCAGGCAGGGTTCACTGTGGGTTCGTCTCTGAGCTCAGGAAGAGCAGCTTGGTGGGGTGCAGAGAACCAGGGTCTGCAGAGGGGACCGGGCTGAGCGAAGGTGATGGCCCCCATCCTGCCTCCCTGGCCACAGGCCACAGGCCACAGACCTGGTTTCATTCTGACTCGGGCACTGCTGGCTATCCCACCCAACCTAGGGCTGATCCCCTCAGTCAGGGAAACTGAGGCTTAGAGAGGGACAATTGTTGAGGCCTCTTCCACCCCAATTTAGACCCACCTGCTTCCTCTTTTCCCCCACCCCGTGCCCGGATCCCCCCTCCCCAGGGCACCAGCACCCCCACCCTCCAAAAGCCTGGGAGCCCGAGGCCCCTCTGAGTCACAGCAGGGCGTTGAGTAAGTGGGGCCTGTGGTGGCCGGGGCTATAATTACCCAGGCTGGGGCTCGGGGTGATGAAACTAGGGATACCTCCGCCCCCACCCCACCTCTGTGTGGCCCTCTAGCCTGCTGTGCAGCCCTAGGCAAGTCCCTTCCTCTCTCTGGGCCTCCCAGGCTCATCTGGGGAGTCTCTGCACAGTTCTAGAAAAACCTATGGCTGCCGTCCCCTCTGTGACCCCGGCCCTGGGCCAGATCTAGGCAGGGCAGCCTGGAGACCTCTCCGTGGGCTCTGCAGAAGGTGATCAGTAAACCAGAGGCCTGGAGGTTGGTAACAGACCTGGTTAGGCCAGGGTTCTGTTAGCAAGTTACCATGTGCTGTTGGCTTCAGTGGGCAGCAAGGCTAGAGATAAGGTAGGGATCTGGTTGCAAAGGGCCAGGCCTTGACCCTCAGGGCAACAGAGCCAAGGAGGGGTTAAAGTTAGGGACACCACCTCTGTAGCTGGTCCCAGAGGGAAGGACTTAGGGCTGGAGGAACCCAGAGGGGAGCCAGGTCTTTGGGAATTAGGAAAGATAGAGGGGCATTCAAGGTAGGGCTTTGAGGGATGAATAGGAGTTTGCCAGTCCCCACACTAAAGAAGTCCTCAGTCTGTTGAGTGTGACAAGGAAGAAATCCAAAGTAGCTCAGATGTGGAGCACAATAGGCAGCAGCAAGGAACAGGTCAGATTCTAGCCAGGGCTCTTAAGACCCAGGGCTCCCTCCTGCCCTCTGGATCCCAGGAAGGAGTACACTTTATTATTATGGATTGGCATCATGCAATGGGAATAGGCAAGACACCTACTTTTTTTTTTTTTTTTTGAGGTGAGTCTTGCTCTGTCGCACAGGCTGGAGTGCAGTGGCGCGATCTCAGTTCACTGCAACCTCCACCTCCCAGGTTCAAGCGATTCTCCTGCCTCATCCTCCCAAGTAGCTGGGATTACAGGCGCCCACCACCACCATGCCCGGCTAATTTTTTTGTGTGTTTTTAGTAGAGACGGGGGTTTCACCATGTTGGCCAGGCTGGTCTCAAACTCCTGACCTCAGATGATCTGCCTGCCTCAGCCTCCCAAAGTGCTGGGGTTACAGGCCTGAGACACCACGCCCAGCCAGCAAGCCACCTACATATTTTAACATTTTCTGACAACCCCGTTCAAAAAAGAGTCAAAGGGAGTTGGTGAAAGTGACTTGAAACATTTTACCTAACCCAGTAGATGCATTTCCATGTGTAGTCAATATGCAAGATCCTCAGTGAGCAATTTTATATCACCTTTTGCATATCAAGTCTTCAAAAGCTGGGGTGCCTTTTGCACTTCCAGCACACATCAGTTCAGAGTGGCCACATTCCAAGGGTTCAGGAGCCACCTAGGCCACAGGCACCCCAGGGCTGATATGGTGACTGCCTTTGTAGGCTAAAGGCGCCAGGCTGAGCTGGGTCCACACTGCCCCCGTGGGGCGAGATGGGTAGGGAGGGGCCCCTGCTATCTCAGGGCTCATGGTCCAATCAGGAAGACAGGAGAAATAAGGAAATCAATAGAAGCAAGATAGACTAGCCAGGCGTGGGGGCTCACGCCTGTAATCCCAGCACTTTGAGAAGCCATGGCAAGCGGATCACTTGAGGTCAGGAGTTCAAGACCAACCCAGCCAACATGGTGAAAATCCTGTCTCTATTAAAAATACAAAAATCAGCCAGGTGTGGTGGTGCACGCCTGTGATCCCAGCATTTTGGGAGGCCAAGGCAGGTGGATCACCTGAGGTCAGAAGTTCGAGACCAGCCCGGCCAACATGGTGAAACCCCATCTCTACTAAAAATACAAAAATGAGCCAGGTGTGGTGGCAGGGGCCTGTAATCCCGGCTAGGCAAGAGAATTGCTTGAACCCGAGAGACGGAGGTTGCAGTGAGCCGAGATCATGCCACTGCGCTCCAGCCTGGAAGATAGAGCGAGACTCAATCTCAAAAAACAAAACAACAACAACAAAAAACAAGAGTCAGATGATGATGGCAGGAGGATAGAGACAGGGCTGGGGAAGGAGGCCAAATTTGAGCCCAAATTTGACTGTGAAGATCCAGGAGGATAAAAGAAAGTGCCCCAGACAGTGGGAACAGCACCTGCAAAGGCTCCCGGGTAGCTTATGCTTTGCATGTCAGGGTGGAGCCCAGATAGGGGAGTGACACTGAAGTGAGGGGAGAGTGGGCGGTCCTGGGTGCCATGGGGTGGGGACTCGGTTACTAGGGTGACCAACTGCCCCACTTTGTCCCAGACAGAGGGGTTTCCCAGGATGCAGGACTTTCAGTACTAAAACCAGAACAGTTGGTCACCCTATCTGTCACCAAACACCTCGGCCACCGCCAGCCTCAAGAGGGCAGGGATAATCGCCTGTCTTGTTCCCTGCGGTATTTTCAGCACCTGGAACAGGGCCTGGCCCTCAGCAGGCACTTGGCAAAGGTCTGGGGCATGAATGAAGGCACCAGGCACTGGCTGGCCTCGTCCTACCTCAGGGGTAGGGGCAGGATGGAGTGGCAGAAGCCCACTGTCTCCTTCTGCCATAGGGAAGGGGGTTCAGGATGGGCATGGTGGCTCACACCTGTAATCCCAGAGCTTTGGGAGGCCGAGGCGAGAGGATCGCTTGAGCCCAGGAGTTTGAGATTAGCCTGGGCAACATAGCTCGACCCGCATCTCTCAAACTTACATATATATATATATATTTGTTGGCTTGAGCCCAGGAGTTCGAGGCTTCAGGGAACCGTGATCACGCCACTGCCCTCCAGCCTGGGGGACAAAGCCAGACCCTGTCTCTCTTTTTTTTTTTTTTTTTTTTTTTGGAGACAGTCTCGTTCTGTCACTGAGGCTGGAAGGCAGTGGCATGATCTTGGCTCACTGCAACCTCCACTTCCCAAGTAGCTGGGATTATAGGCCTGCGCCACCACGCCTGGCAAAATTTTTTTTTTGAGACAGAGTTTCGCTCTTACTGCTGCAACCTCCACCTCCCAGGTTCAAGTGATCCTCCTGCCTCAGCCTTCCTAATAGCTGGGATTACAGGTGCCTGGCACCATGCCCGACTAATTTTTTTTTTTTTTTTTTTTTTTTTTTTTTAGTGGAGACAGGGTTTCACCATGTTGATCAGGCTGGTCTCAAACTCCTGGCCTCAAGTGATCCGTCTTCCTCAGCCTCCCAAAGTGCTGGGATTACAGGCGTGAGCCACCATGCCTGGCCTAGACCCTGTCTCTTAAAAAGTTAAAAAAGGAAAGGAAACGGGGTTCAGAGAGGCTTAGCATTTTCCCAAGGCCGCACAGCACGCGGGGTCCGAGCCCCTCTTCAGATGTTCAGAATGCGAAGTCGCCCCCATTCGTTCCGTTTTTCGAGGAACCGTCCCCATCGGGGCGCCGAAACCTCTGGTGCACGGTCCGTGTTCTGCCAGGGCGGTCCGGTGCCTGCCGCGCGTCCGTGTGGGTCCCTGGGCGGGGATCGGGGGTCCCCGGCCCCGCTGACCGTGCCCGCCCCGTGCCCCGTCCACAGGCAGGACAAGCTGAAGGTGCACATGCGGAAGCACACGGGCGAGAAGCCGTACCTGTGCCAGCAGTGCGGCGCCGCCTTTGCCCACAACTACGACCTGAAGAACCACATGCGCGTGCACACGGGCCTGCGCCCCTACCAGTGCGACAGCTGCTGCAAGACCTTCGTCCGCTCCGACCACCTGCACAGACACCTCAAGAAAGACGGCTGCAACGGCGTCCCCTCGCGCCGCGGCCGCAAGCCCCGCGTCCGGGGCGGGGGGCCCGACCCCAGCCCGGGGGCCACCGCGACCCCCGGCGCCCCCGCCCAGCCCAGCTCCCCCGACGCCCGGCGCAACGGCCAGGAGAAGCACTTTAAGGACGAGGACGAGGACGAGGACGTGGCCAGCCCCGACGGCTTGGGCCGGTTGAATGTAGCGGGCGCCGGTGGAGGAGGTGACAGCGGAGGTGGCCCCGGGGCCGCCACCGACGGTAACTTCACAGCCGGACTCGCCTAAAAACCAAAAAGAGAAAACAGAAACCCGAGAGAGAGAGAGAGAGACAGAGAGAGAGAAAAAAAATCACCTACCACCCCCCCAAAAACACAAAAAAAGAAAATCTATCTATATACAGATATCTATATCTATATATATATATACAGATATATATATATGACGCGTCACAGAATCTAGGGTAGCGCTTTCTCAGATTTCCCTCCTTTCTGACGTTTTTCTCCCTCCACAGGGGCCCCGGCCCTCCCTGGCTCCCCTTCCCCCCCACCACCCCATCGCTGGGTTTCGGGGCTTGGTTTGGGGTTTTTTGTAGGACACAAGGAATCCGAGACCCCGCACAGCCCCCTGGGCACCCGGCATGGGGCCTGGGGCCCGATCCGAGGCCCTGGGCTGGGGTGAGGGTAGACGTGGGGGGGCTGGGGGGGTTGCTGGGGTGGGCTTTTAATTTCCTCCCCTCGCTGGTTTCTATGAGTCTTTCAGACAAGACCTTAAATGATTTCTGTCTGCTCTGAGCGGACGTTAAAATGGGCCCCCGTCCCCGATCCGCACCCTCCTTCCTCAGGGCACTTACTAAGGGAGGGGTCTCCCTCTCCATCTCCCCAATGGCCTCCCTGCCTCCAACCCTGCCTGCCGCCCCCTGCCCGCCCCACATCTCCTGGCCACTGAGACACAAACCTATTTATTTCTAGGCCTGGAGAAAGGAGATCGGACTGGGGTTCCCGGTGGGGCACCAGGATGGCTCCTGGGGGGGCTCCCGCCGCCTTCCTTCACGGCACTTACAACCGGCGGGACCCCCAGGGACCACCCCTCAGGGCGCCCCCCACCCCAGCCAGGTCCACCTAGACCCCCACGTTTGGAGATTCAAAACTTCTGTCTTCGTCCTCTCCCCCGAGCCCCGTCTCCCAAATTTTTAAAGCACTTTTTTGATTTTTTTTTCTCTTTCCTCCTTAAAAACAAAATTTATATATAGAGAGATATATATATATATAAATAATATACTTTTCCTCAGAGGAGCAGGCAACAGTGTGGGATAAACAGAGTTATGATCAGAGGAACCCCAGGGTCTGGTGATGGCAGGGACAGGGGGAGAGAGAGAAAATCCACAAATTCCAATGTCACAAAAGCAATAAAACAAACTAGAAAAAAAAAAAAAAAAAAGATTTTACAAAACGAAAGGAAGGAAAAAAAAAGGCAACCAACCACATTAGAAGTCTTGGCACTTTGTAACGGAACGGGTACTACACTTTATCTTAATTCTTAATTTAAAAACATGTTTACAAGTTACAACCAACTTCTATGAAAAGTTGAAAAGACAAAAAAAAAAAAAAAAGCGAGCGAGAGAGAGAGAGCGAGAGAGAGAGCGAGAGCAGAAGAAATTCCTAAAAGTCGATTTATTTTTGTACAAAATAATAAAAAAAAAAACCCACCACAAACGTAGAATCCACTTCTGTTCCCCAAAAAGCGAGAAGGGGGGTTCAGGAGGAAGCCATCGCAGGGGACCTGGGAGACGCCCCGAGGTGTTTGTGCTTCACCCCCGGACGTCAGCCTTGAAGGCAGGACTGTGGGGTGTTTGTGCTGTTTCCCCCGCTCCCCCTTTCTGTCCCCTTTTTTGGTTCTGACGTGAAGAGGTGTTAGTGCCCGCTAGACCTACAAAGGGCCGTCTGTCCACGGGGTCTCTCCTTCCTCCTCCCTAGCTCAGGGATGGGCCTTCCAGCCGGAGCACCCCGATCCCCAACTGGCACCCCCCAATCCTCCAACACGCCTATCCTCCCACATGGCCACCAAGGAGCTGGACCTTGGATGCGCCTGCCCTGTAGAGGTGGGTGACAGGGGCCCCCCACCTCCAGGGCCTTAGAACCACCGCCCCCCTCCCCACCCCAGGCACCCCTCTTTTTACTCAAAGGCACTGACTGTAATCCAGGGGGGCTGGGACCTGCCTCCCCCCAACCTCTGGCTCCTACAAGGCCCGGTGTTGACCGAGCCACAGGCCACGGACAGGGGCCGGGGTTGGGGAGACGATGTCGCCAGATGCCAGGATGCCCTCACCCCTTTTGCATATGCAATGCCTAGCATGGGACCCTGAAAATAGACGCTCTACTGCACTGAGACTTCTTGTCAATGCCCGACCAAGGGGGGTGTCTCCCTGCCCCCGACCTCCCCATACCCCTTCTCTGTGACACACACATCTTCTCGTCTCTTTTTCTTTCATTTTTAAAGGGAAGCTTTTTAAGAAGGCAAGTTTCATGTTTCTACAGGATGGTTTTGGTTCCCTTCCCACCCCCCCTTAAGCCTGTCAGCCCCCTCCAAATGTCTCAGGATCCCCCCTCTCCCCTGGGGCTGGGTGACAGCACCCCGGCTGCGTTCACACCCCAGTGTCACAGGGCGAGCTGTTCTGGAGAGAAAACCATCTGTCGTGGCTGAGCAGGGAGCTTGAACACCCAGGCCAGGGACACCCCTCCCCAGCTCCCAGAGAGGCCCCTGAGCGGGGATCCCTCTTTCCACGTTCCCCTATCCATGCACCCCCTCGCAATAAAACCAACTCTAAAATCACAGCTGTCGTCCTGGCCAGTGAGGGCGACCGGACTTGGGGGGTCTGGGACTTCCGTAGGAACAAGGGCTGCGGCCCACCGCGACACTTACACAGACCTCGGGGATTGCACTAAACCCTCGTTCCTAGCTCCGCACTCAGCTTCGCCTGTCCTGCCCGCCCACTTTGCCTTAACTGCCCGCCCGTCCTGGGGGCCACAGCCTCTGCATGGGCCCAGAGCCGGGACCCCCCAGCCCAGCCCCGCCCCGCCCTCCCCAGACTCCGCGCAATCACATACTGTATATAGACGTGAATCGATTTTATTTTTATTCTTTAAATTAAGGTCGTGATAAAGTGTTGCCAAAGATACCTGCTGAATTCTCGCGTTTCAGGAAACAAACAAACAAAAAATAATGAAATATTTGAGGAGGGTCGTGTTGACTCCATAAGAAAGGACACAGCTAAAAGCTTTTTTGTTTGGTTGTTTGGGGTTTTTTTGTGTTTTCTTTTTTTGGGGTGTTTTTTTTTTTTTTTTAACTGCCTGGTACAAAAAAAAAAAAAAAGAAAAAAAAGAAAAACAATGCGAAATTGTTATTTCCATTCTCATGGTGAAGTTGCGTGGACGTGTGTGTGCGTGTGTGCAAGAGAGCGGGAGTGAGGTCCAGGCTGGGGGCGGGGCTTCAGGTGGGGGCGCCCGGGGGGCCGGGGAGGTGGCCGGGCCGGAGCCCCCGTCTGCAGCGGCCCCCAGCCTGCCGGGCCCAGGAGAGAGAGAGAAGCACCTCTGCTACTAGCTGTTGCTGCTACCTGCCTCTGCCCCACGATGCCCCCCTGCCTTTTGAGATTAAGGAAACAAACAAACAAACAAAAAAACAAAAAAAAAAGGCAAAAATGTTTTTAAAAAGGAAAAAAAAAAATTATAAACCAGTGAATGTAAAATGCCAGAGCAGGCCCAGCCTGGCACGGGTGTGGGCCTGCAGCCAGCCAGACTCGAGCGGGCGATACCAAAGTCCGCCCCCACGGGGTGGTCCGCTCAGGAGACCCCCCACCATTGTGGCTGTGGAGTCCTGTCACTGTCTTTTTGCTTCCTTCCAAGGGGGGGTCCCCCAGCCTCTTCCAAGGTCTTCCCCTGGAAGTGGGCGGCAGCGGGGAAGGTGGGGGACGGGGTCCTTTGCACAATTCAGTCCCCGGGGCCGTGGCAGGAGCGGTCATCTCACAGGCGGTGACACTGAGGCAGGGGCCTCAGGGTGCCCCCTCCCTGGACGGGGACAGTCCAGGCAGCCAGAGTGGTTGGAGGCGAGACAGAGAGAATGAAAGGAAAAACAGAAGAAAAAAAAATATTAAAAATCAACAAAAAAAAGCAAAAATCCTATTTTTTGAGAAAGAAAGATATTTATATTTGCAGTTTTATTTTAAAAAGTTATTTAAGTTGAAGTAGCCTTCCCGGAGGTGGGGGGGTGGGTGGCTGGCGCAGGACGGGTCAGGGGCCTGGAGGCTGGGGGGTGCCCCAGGAGCTACAACCTCAGAGTTAAGACTAGCTCGCATTAAATACATAGATTTACAATGGGGGGGTGGGGGGACTGGGGCCAGGAGGTGGAGGGGGCTGGGGAGACCCCCATTCCTCGCCGGGGCTGCCTGGAGGCTGTGGACGAGGGTCTGATGCCCAGGTCCCGCCCCCCACCCCACCCCAGGCCCAGAATCGAGGTGCCTTGGACTTTGGAGGGGCCAGGCCTGGTTGAATGGGGGGCGGGGCGGCGCCCTCAGGGTACAAAGCACAGATAGACATTCCAGAGACTGTATTTGAGAGTCTTTATAAAGTGTGGGAGATTTAAAACAAAACAACAAAAAAAACTGATAAAAATGCACTTTTTGGGAGTGGGGAGGGAGAAGCTTTAAAAGTAATAAAAAAACACAAAAACACAAAAGATGAAAAAACAAAAAAATTCATTTTTCTTGTACATAAAAAAAAAAACCACTAAACGCAGCCTGTTACGACCGCTGCCGCCTCAGTCGCCTCATTTGATGTTCTCTGTGTTTTGTTCGGGGGAGGCTGGGGAGCGGGCAGGGGGGGCTTGGGGGGGTCCCCTTTTCCCCTTTTGGCCCTGAAGAGACTGGGTGGGTTGAGCGCCTCGTCCACACCACACCTTCGGGCCCAGGGAGACTGGATCCTGGGTCTCAAGGAGAGAAGCTCCAGGTCCCCGACCCTTCCTGCTCTTCCTATCCGGCCTCAGAAGCCAGGCCCGTCTCTCTGGGGTCCATCTGTTGCATGGCGGGGAGGCCGGGTGTGGACAGTGACCCAGAGCACCGGAGTGGGGGGTGAGTGTCCGAGGAGTGCCCAGGCCCAGAGGCCCCTCTTGCGAGGAAGGTGACCCACAGCCCCTGGCGTGGGCAGGCAGCTGGCACAGGATAAGGCCAGAGGGGCAGCAGGGAGAACCGGCCGGGCGGGTTGTCAGCAGAATCCAGGGCTGGGCCCTGGGCACCGCTGACTCCAGGCTTCCCCGAGGCCCCAGGTGGGGTAGCCTCACCTGGGGGCCACCTGACTCTGCTAGAAGACCCCAGGGTGCTGCCCCATGCCAGGCCCCAGGGCCAGGAGCCAGGATCTGGAGCTGGAAGCCTCAGCTAGCTGCAGCCCTTACCTCTGGGTAGGGTCTTTGAGGGAGAGCCTCCTCCTACCTCCTGTCCTCCAACCAGACTCGGCCCATGTCCAAGGAATCTGTCCAGGCCAGTAAGGGTGGGGATGGGGCCAGCCCCAAGGGATGGATGAGGCACTCATGGAAGCAGATGGTACAGTCAGGCACCGGTGGCCGCACTGAGCTGGGCACTGGGTCCACTCAGACCCCCAGCTCCTCCTCTGTGGATTGAGCTCTTCCTAGTAGCCACAGGAAGTCGACAAAGCCTGGCCCAGCCCTTGCCAGGAAACACTACAGAGGCCACAGCATGAAGCCTGAGGGCCTCCGGGTCCTTGTGTGGACCCCATGGCAAAGCCCCATACCTGTGCGAGGCCACCCGTGAACCTGCTGCAGCCAGGATTTGTGCCCAAGTCCCCAACACGGGCTGGGGCAGGGTGGGGGGTCAGTGGTTCTACAGCCATGTCCTGAGCCCCCTGTGCCCTGGACCCTCAGGGCACACTGAGGCCTCTGCTCAGAGGTCCCACAGCGTCGGGAAGCTGAAGGAGCCACAGCCTCAGGACCATAAGCCAGGGTTAGGTGCTTCCTTAACCTCTGTGCTTCAGGGATGACCAGGCGTGGTGGCTCATGCCTGTAATCCCAGCACTTTGGGAGGCTGAGGAGGGAGGATCGCTGGAGCCCAGGAGTTCGAAACCAGCCAGAAAAACAAGGTGAAACCACGTCTATGCAAAAAATACAAAAATTAGCTGGGTGTGGTGGTGCACACCTGTGATCCCAGCTACTCTGGAGGCTGAGGCGGAAGTATTGCTTGAGCCCAGGAGGTTGAGGCTGCAGTGAGCTATGACGGCACTGCTGCACTCCAGCCTGGGCGACAGAGTGAGACCCTTTCTCAAAAATAAAAATAAGTGTAATTCACACACCACATAAATTCTCTTCAAAGCCGGGTGTGGCGGCTCATGCTTGTAATCCCAGCATTTTGGGAGGCCAAGGCAGATGGATCACGAGGTCAGGAGATTGAGACCATCCTGGCCAACATGGTGAAACACCATCTCTAGTAAAAATACAAAAATTAGCCAGGCGTGGTGGCACATGCCTGTAGTCTCAGGAAGCTGTGGCAGGAGAATCACTTGAACCTGGGAGGTGAAGGTTGCAGTGAGCCGAGATGGTGCCGTTGCACTCCAGCCTGGGCGACAGAGCAAGTCTCCATGTCAAAAAAAAAAAAAAAAAAAAAAAGGCTGGGCACAGTGGCTTACACCTGTAATCCAAACACTTTGGGAGGCCAAGGCGAGCAGATCACGAGGTCAGGAGATTGAGACCATCCTGGCTAACACAGTGAAACCCTGTCTCTACTAAAAGTACAAAAAATTGGCCGGGTGCGGTGGCTCAAGCCTGTAATCCTAGCACTTTGGGAGGCCGAGACAGGCGGATCACGAGGTCAGGAGATCGAGACCCTCCTGGCTAACGTGGTGAAACCCTGTCTCTACTAAAAAAAAAATACAAAAAACTAGCCGTGCGAGGTGGCGAGCACCTGTAGTCTCAGCTACTCGGGAGGCTGAGGCAGGAGAATGGCGTAAACCCGGGAGGCGGAGCTTGCAGTGAGCTGAGATCCGGCCACTGCACTCCAGCCTGGGCGACAGAGCGAGACTCCGTCTCAAAAAAAAAAAAAAAAAAGTACAAAAACTTAGGCTGGGTGCAGTGGCTCACGCCTGTAATCCCAACACTTTGGGAGGCGGAGGTGGGTGGATCACGAGGTCGGGAGATTGAGACCATCCTGGCTAACATTGTGAAACCCTGTCTCTACTAAAAATACAAAAAATTAGCCGGGCATGGTGACGGGTGCCTGTAATCCCAGCTACTAGGGAGGCTGAGGCAGGAGAATGGCGTGAACCTGGGAGGCGGAGCTTGCAGTGAGCCGAGATTCCGCCGCTGCACTCCAGCCTGGGAGACAGAGTGAGACTCTGTCTCAAAAAAAAAAAAAAAATTTCCTTCAAAAAATTATGCACCCATCACCACTAATTCCAGAACATTCTATCCAGCCCAAAGGATGCCCCATATCCATTTGTGATCACTCTCCATCCCCTTCTCTACCTTCTAGCACCCATGAATCCCCTTCCTGTCTCTGTGGATTGGCCTGTCCTGGACATTTCATAGAAACGGGACCACATGCCACGTGGCCTTTGGTGTCTCTCACTAAGCTTACCTGGCATCCTCAGGGTTCGTCTGTGCTGGGGCCTGTGTCAGAGCCTCGCTCCTTTCCATGGCTGTCATACCGCGGTGTGGATGGCCACGCTGCGCTGATTCACTCCCTGGTTGGACAAGGGTCGTGGCCACATTTGGCTGCTGTGCATATCCATGAACACATTTCAATGTGGATGGATGTGTTCACTTACCTCGGGGCCATGTCTGGGCTGGCGTTGCAGGTCCGACGCTAACTCCACGTTCAGCCTTTTGAACAAATGTCCAGCTGTTTCCAAGGGGCTGCACTGCGTTGTCCTCCCCAGCTGTGTGGACTGCAGCTTCCCTGACCCTTGCTGCTGTCCTGGTGAGGGTGACAGGTATCTCACACCCCTAACATCTCATGTGCTCCATGGTTGTCTTTTTTTTTTTTTTTTGAGATGGAGTCTCGCTCTGTCACCCAGGCTAGAGTGCAGTGGTGTGATCTCTCACGGCAAGCTCCACCTCCTGGGTTCAAGCAACTCTCTTGCCTCAGTCTCCCCAGTAGGTGAAACTACAGGGGCCCACCACCACGCCCAGCTTTTTGTACTTTTTTTTTTTTTTTTGAGACAGAGTCTCGCTCTGTCGCCCAGGCTGGAGTGCAGTGGCCGGATCACAGCTCACTGCAAGCTCCGCCTCCCGGGTTCACGCCATTCTCCTGCCTCAGCCTCCCGAGTAGCTGGGACTACAGGCGTACGCCACATCGCCCGGCTAATTTTTTGTATTTTTTAGTAGAGATGGGGTTTCACCGTGTTAGCCAGGATGGTCTCGATCTCCTGACCTCATGATCCGCCCGTCTCGGCCTCCCAAAGTGCTGGGATTACAGGCTTGAGCCACCGCGCCCGGCCACTTTTTGTATTTTTTTTTACTAGAGATGGGGTTTCACTGTGTTAGCCAGGATGGTCTCGATCTCCTGACCTCAGGTGATCCGCCCGCCCTGGCCTCCCAAGGTGCTGGGATTACAGGCATGAGCCACTGCGCCTGGCCTTTTTTTTTTCTCTGACAAAAGCAAAACGTTTGTGTATCTTCTTGGCCACCCAGAGAGCCATGGACAATCCTGGGACCTGAACTCCGTGTATGGCCCAAGCCCCTTCACCCAGTCTCCCAGCTTCGTGGACACCGGGCCCAGGCAGTACAGTACACAGTAAAACTGGCCTGATTCAGGTCGGGCATGGTAGCTCATGCCTGTAATCCTAGGACTTCGGGAGGCTGAGGAAGGAGGATCACTTGAGGCCCAGAGTTCAAGACCAGCCTGGGCAACATAGCGAGACACCCCCATGTCTATTAAAAATAAATAAATAATAAAAATCTGCCTCATTTGACCACGAGCAGCACCTTTTGAATTCTGAAACTCAGCAATAACCATGACAGAGAGATGTGGGTGGGGCTGCTTCTGTCCTTCCCACAACCCCACCCCCCACTACAGGGTACGCACTGAAAGAGACACAGGGCACACAAAAGCGGACGCCTGGGTGGCTTCACCTCCACCTTTTTTATTTGCATTTTTTAAAAACAATTAAATTAGAATACAAATATTAGAAAACAGCGGCCTTCAGCTGCCCGTGCGGGCGGGAGGGGCCGAGCTGCGCAGCGGGCTGCGGGCTCTGCAGCGAGACTGAACTGCCCTCGGCCAGATGCACGTCCCTTTCTTTAGACCTGAAATGATATTGCTTCCTGACTAGGAGTTCTGTTTATACAAAGGAAAATTCTGGGCTGGGGAGGATAAAAGCAAAACAGACCGCAGGCAGCAGGTCTGGAGAACCAGGTAAGGTCGGTGCCCTGCCTGTGCCCCGGTCTCCTGGGGGGCGAGGGGGGTGCCCAGCTGCGGGATCCTGGAGGCAGAGCCCCGGAAGCGCCCCCAGTTGTTGGACCCTGAGGCCAAGGGCATGGGTGGGGCCTGTGAGGGGCCGGGAACCCCTGGGGACAGGAGGGAGGCCCCTGGTCTGGTCCTGCTGGAAAAGCAAGGCTCCCGGGGGACAGGGTGCCAGCCTCGTACCCGTCGGAAAACCAAGAGCAAAAAGGAGAGGAATCAACCCAAACAAGAGCTGGGGTGGCCGGAGTCCCTGCTGCCCCTTGGGAAGCGACCACCCCTCCGTGCCCCAAGGACTGGGGTATGGTGGCGGCAGCGGCGGCGGCAGCTGTGGACATCTGTGGACATCTGTGCTGTTCCGTAGGGAAGTTAACCTGAATTGGAGTTACCGAGGTAGCTGGCTAGAAAACTGAGACCCCCCCACGCCACACGGTGCCGCACCCTGGGCCCCCGCCTTCCCCGGGGGTTCCTGGCCACACGCCGGGTCTTCAAAATACCAAATTATTGCACTTTCAAAAAATACAACACATCTGTGGCTAAACCCTCCCCAGCCGCCCACCGTCCCCCAATCCTGCCCGCCCATCCCCCCGCCCCACTGCCCCTCCCAGCCCCAACCCACTCCATGGCTTCTTGGCTACAACGCTCGTTGCTCGGTGCATGAGGGTCTCTGGGTGAGGATGTGTTTGCAGAGAAAAAGCAAAGGAAGAGACAAACATCAAAGTGGTCGCCAGAGAGGGGCTGTGCCCCGCCGCCCGCCGCCCGGGGCCCTGCGCACCGGCTGGAATGGTCGTGGGAAGAGGGTGGCGGGCAGCTGGGCATCCGGAGGGCAGGGCGTGGGGCAGCGTCCTGGTCCCTCCCGCCCACTACCCCTTCCCGGCTCGGACTCCAGCCGGGGAGGCGGCTGTGTGGGTGGCCGGCCTTGTTTTGAAGAGTTTGACTTTTTTGTTTCATTTTTCTTTTTTGTATCTTTTTTTGTCATTTTACTTTTTTTTTAATCCCCCATAGGAGAGTCCAGAGGTACAGGTGCCAGGAGCCAGGCAAAGGGGTGGAAAAACAAAAGGAACGACAAGAAAAAGAACAAGAAAGGTCACTCCTCCCTCTGTGCCTGAGGCTGGCCCGCGCCCCTCTGCGTGGTGAGCACCAGGAAAGTCGAGTGTGCGGCCGGGGTCAGCAGGCCGGCACCAGGCCCTTCTGGAAGGGGCAGCGGCGCTTGGGCCGGGGGCCCTCTTCGTCGTCCTCCTCCTCCTCCTCTTCCTCTTCCTCCTCATCCTCTGAGGACGATGAGCTGTCCAGCGTGAGGTCCACCACGTCGGCGCCCGGCTTTCCATTCTCCACGCCGCTCACCGGGCCGCCGCCGCCCGTGCTGCCCAGGGCACCGCTCCCGTTGACGCTGGGGGCAGGCAGGAGCCCATTGGCATCCGAGGGGCCTGCGGGTGACAGCGACAGGGTGCAGGTACTTAGGATGCAACCACTGATAAATGGGGAAACTGAGGCTGCCCTGGCTGGGGACTGCGCGGTTGGTGGTGGCGAGGCACTCACCCAGCACGAGGATGGCGCCCTGCGGGCTGCAGCTGCGCTCCTTTTCGGCGCGGATTGGGCACCACGAACCGTCCACCAGGTACTCGATCTCGTCGGCGTCCTCACACTCGCTCAGGATCTTCGAGAGGAGCCTGGGGCGAGGCGGACAGCTGACGATGCGGCTGGGGGTGCCCCGCCCCCCCAACTCCCCAGCCCTCCATTCCTCCTGGATGCCGCCAGGCACTTCCCACTGCTCTCTGCAAGAGCAGCTTCACGCCCCGACTACAGGGTCCAGGGGCCCTGAATTCCCTCCCCTGGCCTCAGGCTCCTGCAGCTGCTGATCCCCGGCAGGTCATGCGCACGGCACCGCCAGGGGTGGTGGGGCAAGGATGCACAAAACTAGTGGCCCCCAACCACCCACAAGAGCAGGGGATGTGGGGGCTGCAGGGGTCCGGCCCTCCCTGCCCCTCTGGGCACCTCCAGGTGTGCATGCATGTTTGTGTGGGGATGTGAGTGTATCTGTGCATGTGTGCACACGTGTGCATGGATGCATATGTACAAGCGCGCACGTGAGTGTATGTGTGCATCCATGTGTGGATGCATGTGGGCATACGTGAATGTGGACTGTATGGATGTGTGTGTGTATGTGTGACGGTGTGGACTGGATGTGTGATAGTGTAGACTATATAGATTGTGTGTGTGACCGTGTACTGTAGACTGTGTGTGACGGTGTGGTATCGATTGTGTGTGTGTGTGTGTCACTGTGGTCTGTATCAATTTGTGTGTGTGACGGTGTGGTATCGATTGTGTGTGTGACAGTGTGGACTGTATCGACTGTGTGTGTCAGTGTGGACTGCATGAATGTATGTGTGATGGTGTGGACCGTATAGGTGTGTGTGTGATGGTGTGGACTGTATGGATGTGTTTGTATGTGTGACAGTGTGGACTGTATGGATGGGTGTGTATGTGATGGTGTGGAATGTATGGATGTATTTGTGTGTATGTGTGACGGTGTGGACTGTATGGGTGTGTATATGGTGTGGACTGTACGGATGTGTGTGTATATGACGGTGTGGACTGTATGGGTGTGTGCATGTGTGATGTGGACCGTATGGATTGTGTATGTGTGATGGTGTGGACTGTATAGGTGTATGTGTGATGGTGTGGACCGTATGGATGTGTGGGTGTGTTCGCATGAGGGTGTGGACTATGGATGTGTGGGGGTGTGTGTGACGGTGTGGACTGTAGGGATGTGGGTATGGGTTACGGTGTGGACTGTATGGGTGTGGGGGTGTGTTCGCATGAGGGTGTGGACTATGGATGTGTTGGGGTGTGTGTGACGGTGTGGACTGTAGGGATGTGGGTATGGGTTACGGTGTGGACTGTATGGGTGTTGGGGTGTGTGTGACGGTGTGGACTGTAGGGATGTGGGTGTGGGTTACGGTGTGGACTGTATGGGTGTGGGGGTGTGTGAGACGGTGTGGACCACATCCATGTGTGGGCATGCGGGTGTGCGCCCACATCTGCTTTCATACTGCACTGTGTACCCCCCAGATCAGGAAACGGCCTGCAGTGAAGGCTGCTCAAAGCCGCTGCAGAGGCTGTGAGGGCAGCACTGGAGGCAGAGCCAGGGCTCCCCATGCCCATCCCAGCCACAGCCTCTCCAGAGCGCCCCCGCTGTGTACGGCCTTCTTCCTTGGAGGTCCCGCCAGTCCCATTTCACAAACGCAGAAACAGAGGCTCAGGAAGGGGATGAGTTCCCTGAGGCCACAGGGCCAACTGGAGGCAGGCACTGGTTCTGCTCCCCGACCCCGTCCTGGCCAAAGGGCCTCGGTCTCCCCACCCGCAGGATGGGAAGGGCGCAGTGGCTGGGGGGCGTCTGGGGAGAGGCCCCATGCCTCATGGGTCCATGCAGGGCCCAGGCTGGCCTGTTACTGTCAAGGCTACAGCTGCTCCCAGGCGCCTGCAGTGATGTCGTTCTCATCACACAGGACAGCCCTCGTCCCGCTCTGGGCGACATTTTCTTTTTTTTTTTTTTTTTTGAGACGGAGTCTCGCTCTGTCCCCCAGGCTGGAGTGCAGTGGCGTGATCTCGGCTCACTGCAAGCTCCGCCTCCCGGGTTCATGCCATTCTCCTGCCTCAGCCTCCCGAGGAGCTGGGGCTACAGACGCCCACCACCGCGCCGGCTAATTTTTTGTATTTTTAGTGGAGACGGGGTTTCACTGTGGTCTTGATCTCCTGACCTCGTGATCCACCCGCCTCGGCCTCCCAAAGTGCTGGGATTACAGGCGTGAGCCACCATACCCAGCCTTCTGGGCGACACTTTCTGAGGCTGATGGGACTCCTCTCACCCAGGCCAGTCCCCCGCCCGCCCCACCGAGGTCTCTCTGAGGCAATGCTCAGAGCCCCCTGTGCCGGGGGGCCACCCCAGGCGTAGCACAGCTCTGCCTGCTCACTGCCCTGTTTGCAAAACTCCTTCTCACCCTCCAAAGTCCCACCCCACAGCTTCTCTTCCTCCTCTCCAAGACAGACACAGCAGTTTATGTCTGGCTCTGCTCCTCTATCCGCTCCCCCCGCCAAGAACAAGGCTCCCTGTAGGCAGGGTCTGGAACAGGACTCTTTTGGGGACCCTGGGGTCACCCACTCAGAGCCAGGGACAGACAGACGACAGGGCTCATGGAACAAAGTATGAATCAAGGACCTCTCCTCCAGGAAGCCTCCCTGGCTACACTGAGTCCCATGGGCTGCTGAGGCCAAGGCCTGTGTGGGATACAGCTGTCTGCCCCAGCCCTGGTGGCCCTGGAGCTGTGAGAGCTGTAAGAGCTGCCGCCACCCCAAGCCCAAGCCCCACTCCGGGCCTGTGGGGGAAGGCGGGCACCCGGCTGCACAGCTGTCAAGCTGGGAACAGAGCAGCCATTCAGGCAGTCCACGTGCCCGGCCCCAGGGTCTCCTCTCTCTACCCGAAGCTGGGATGCAAGGGGGTGGCCACCCAGCCCTCCACAGAGGGGACCCAGACTCAGGCCAAGTTCAAGTCCCAGTCTGGCCCCCTGTGAGCCGAGGGGGGCTCCGGCTGCTGGCTGCCTCCTCTGAGCCTGTTTCCTCGTCTGTAAAATGGGGAAGCTCACAGGTCTGCCTCCCAGGATGGGGACAACTGCACAAACCGGAGGTCTACTTAGGGACCAAATCTATGACCCCAGAGGCAGGCCAGCCCTGCCTTCACCTGCACGGTCCACTGAGGCCGTGCACCCGAGGGCTGGGGGCCCAGCTCACCCCCCCAGGCAGGGCCTGCTCCCGCCTGTGAGGGCACCAGCTCGTGCCGCTGTGGCCTCACGCCCTGCCAGAGGCTCTGGGGACGAGAGGTGGGCGTGGCCGGCGCCATGCAGGAGCCGCATCAGGTGCCACAGACAACAGGGCTCAGTTTCTGGAAACTTAAGCCCTGGGCAGAGCCTCCCTCCAGGGAGAAAGGTCTTGTCCTCCTGTCCCCTGGTGCCTGGGGAATGCCTGGCCACAGCTGTGCCACCCAGGAAGGGAAGGGTATGGCGTGGCCAGAGCACTCCAGGGGCACCACCTCCTTCGCCTCTCTGTGAGGAGCCACCCCCATTGCTGCGCGTCCTGGGGCGAACGCCGTGTGAAAGCAGAGTCCGGCTTGGTTTTTTGGGGCAAAAACCACACTCCTGGAGCTCAAGGTCACACCTGCCTGAGGTCATGTGGGAGCGGGGTGGACCTGAGCCCGCCTTCTGCAGCCTAAGCTACATGCCTATCGCCTGCACAGCAAAGGCTCTGAAAAGTTCCGCGAGCAAGAAACGGGCTCTTCTCACAGCCCGGGGCTTCCAAAGCTCCGGGACCGCGTGTCCCCACTGCTGTGTCTTGCTGGGGCAGCACGGGGTCTGCAGGAAGCAGGGTGCCGCCGAGATCTCCATGGCCGCCCGGCTCCGGCCGCCCTCCCGGGGCCCCAGGCTCACCCATCGATGATGAGCTGGTCGTAGGGGGCTGGCTTGTCGCACACGGGGCACATCCAGGTGGGCTTCTTCTCATTCATCTGCAGGTAGAAGACGGCGTCGAAGCACTGCAGGTGGGCGCAGGTCTCTGCCCGGCAGGGCACAGAGAGCCGCATCTTCACCAGCTGCGGGGGAGGGGCGGCGTGAGCATGGCACCCGTCTGCTGTGCCCGCCCACCCGGCACCCCTCACCCCCAGCTCCATCCTGTGGCTTGTTCCAACGCTCATGCCTCAGGAACACGGGGGGACCAAGACCAGCCTTGCCCCCGCAGGCTCACGGTCCAGCCAAGATGCCCTGGGCCCAGGGCCACCAGGGAGGAAGTACAGCCGCAGGAGAGGCCCCAAGGAGGAGGCTGCCCCAACTCACCGGGCAGATGAGGGACACCCGCACACCAGTGGTGGCGATCTCGCTGTCGGGATCCAGGCGCAGCTTCTCCTTGACTGTGGGGAGGGAACGGAGGACGCCGTCAGAGAGGTGGGCACAGTGGGGCACAGGACTGGGATTCGGGTTCTCTCCAGCACCCGTGACCACCTCCTAGAACGGATGCCCCCAAAACGAGCCTTGAGCCTCGCTGTGTGGCTCAGGGCCACGAGGCACCAGAGGAAGTCAGGCGGCGACCACCATTAGATTTGACCACAACCTGGGCACACCACAGACCCAGCCGAAGCCCCCACACGCAGGTGGCCTATGTGGCCTCCCCTACCCCGCGTGGGCTGTGACCCACGGGACTTTTCTGGAAAGTTTCATGCAACACAGCCACCGACGGGGTCATTGCTGTGACTTAATTCCGTCACCGACGCACCATCCCCAAGGCCACAGTGGGGAATGAGGCAGGGATTCCTTTGGGAGATGGACCCGGGGGCCTCCCGGCTGTGAGCCAGGAAGAGGCCGCCGCCCAGCCCCAGACACCACGCCGAGGCAGCCCGCACACCCAGGAGTGTAGCCGCTTCTTTAAAGGAAAAGACGGTGCCCGCCAGCAAGCTGCACGGAACACGGGCAAACACGTGAAACATGAAGGCTCGGGGCAGGCACCGCCCTCCCCTCCACAGGCAGCAGGCCCACAGCCAGAAGGAACTCACGCGGGGACCCCGGCTGCCTCCTGACACTTCTGGGATGCGGCTGAACTCCATCCTCGGCTAGCTCAGGACAGCCCCCAGCCCTGGGCCCTGCAGGGCAGACCACCCTGGCCCACAGTCCACAGGGCCTCTCCATCCACCACCCGGCCCTCAGCTGCCTAGTGGACCAGTTTTGCTTCCTCTAGGAAGCCACCTGCCCAACCGACTTGGGATTCAGAGTGATGGTGCCAGCCTGTCTCCCCGCTTCCCCCAGCTGTCCTGACGTTTCTCAGTCTGGAAATGCTCCTACCACCCCTTGTCGGCCTGAAACACCACTTATCTCTGGCCGCTTGGAAGCCACTTCCTCCTTCCTGACCCCCACCCAGCCCCCCGGCCTGTGTGTGCAGCAGTGGGTTCTTCCTTCTCCCATAGGGACGCAGTGGCAGCCACAAGGGGCCAGCATGGTCTGGCCCCCTCGCAGGCTCCCAGCAGCTCTCCTGCTTGAGCCAAGGCTGCCCTAGTCGCTCACTCCTTGGCTGAGTTTCCACCCCTGGGACCCAGCTCTGGCTACCCGGTGCCCACGTGGACCCTCACGCCTGGCAAAGGGGCCCTGGGCAGCTAGGAGGGGATGCAGGTGCCCATCTGATTTTAAAGCAAGCTCTCCCTTCTCCATGTACAGAAAGACATGTGCAGCAGGAAGGGTTCAAGTGAGGCAAACGTGAGGACTTCCTAGGTGCAACGAGAAAAAAATCCAGTGACAAAGAGGCTAAGGCTGGGGCCAGCTGTGGGAAGCGGCAGGAGACCCCTTCAGAGAGGAAATCTGACCCTGCAGCCCCCAGCACTGCAGGGCTCTGGTCACTGAGGAGTTAAGGCCGGCCCCCACCCCATGGGCCTAGAAGAGGCCTGCCCGGCCCCAGCCTCCTCCCTCAAGTTGGCCATTGTCCCCAAAGGAAAGGAAGGTGGGGGGGGGGGTTGAAGAAAGGGCCCTTTGAGGGAAGAGGGAGGCAGGGCGGGGACACCCAGGTCACAGAACCCTAACTTTGCCAATCTGTGCCCCAGTGTCCCCACTGGTCCCACGGGGACATCGCCAGGCCCTCCCTCCCCGAGCCTGGAGGAGGCTGGCCGGGGATGCGGGACTCTGCGGTGGGCACCCTCACCCCTGCACATCCTGCTCTGCAGAGGGGGTGCTGCCGGCTATCCTTCCTGACTTGGGGGACCGGAGTGTGCAGGAAGCTTCAACACGATGGGGCTCGCAGGCCCCTGGCAGTCCCACCACTGCTCCAGGCTTCTGGACACCCAGGCTAGTAGGTGCCCTTTGGTGGTCAGGAACAGGGGCCAGAGGCCCGGGCCTGGCTGTGCCAGGAGGGCAGTGCTCATGGGGAACTCTCAGGCCTGGGCACAGGAGCCCTGGGCAGCTAGGAAGGGCAGCTGGGAGACCCTCTGGCCCCCATTCTGCCAAGGGGCTGGGGTGGTGCCCAGATTCCACCTGAAAACAGCGAGCATTCTGGAAGGGGGCACAAGCTAACCCGGTTGGCCCAGAACCACCCTCTTCTCAGTCTGGCAGGTGGTCCCAGTCCTCGCCCACCTGCCCAACTCCCACTCCCAGCTCCAAAGGACTCCAGGTTAGGCCTAGCCTCTCCACAGAACAGGCCTGTGGAGCCCACTGAGGCCTGAGCCCCAAGCATGTGGGGTCCAGAGAGAGGCCCAGGTGCCCTCAAGATGGCTCAGATCTATTCTCCTGAAGACAGTGGCCACCAGAGAAAGCCAGTGACTTTCCAAGGCCACACAGCCACCAAGCAGGGCTAACTGTACGCTGGCTTTGTGCTGTGCGGCTGCACAGGGGGAATGATTCACCTGCCCAGCTTGGCAGGGGTTTTTTTTTTTTTTTTGAGAAGGAGTCTCACTCTCCCAGGCTGGAGTGCAGTGGCGCGATCTCGGCTCACTGTAAGCTCCGCCTCCTGGGTTCACGCCGTTCTCCTGCCTCAGCCTCCCGAGTAGCTGGGACTACAGGCACCGCCACCTCGCCCGGCTAGTTTTTTGTATTTTTAGTAGAGACGGGGTTTCACCGTGTTATCCAGGATGGTCTTGATCTCCTGACCTCGTGATCCGCCCGCCTCGGCCTCACAAAGTGCTGGGATTACAGGCGTGAGCCACTGCGCCTGGCCAGTAGGCTTTCTTTTAAAATTGCTCTGCGTGTCACTTAAAAAATATTGTTTTCATTGTTACAAGTACAAAAGAGAACAGGTGCAAAAGAGGCCAAGACTGTCATCCCAGCACTCTGGGAGGTTGGGGCAGGTGCACCGCTTGAACCCAGGAGTTTAAGACCAGCCTGGGCAACACAGCAAGAAACTGTCTCTAGGAAACATTAAAAAATTAGTTGGGGCCGGGTGCGGAGGCTCACGCCTGTAATCCCAGCACTGTGGGACGCGGAGGTGGGCGGATCACGAGGTCAGGAGTTCGAGACTATCCTGGTTAACACAGTGAAACCCTGTCTTTACTAAAAATACAAAAATTTAGCTGAGTGTGGTGGCGGGTGCCTGTAGTCCCAGCTACTCGGGAGGCTGAGGCAGGAGAATTGCTTGAACCCAGGAAGCGGAGGTTGTAGTGAGCCAAGCTCATGCCATTGCACTCCAGCCTGGGTGACAGTGAGACTCTGTCTCACAAAAAAAAAAAAAGAAAAAAAAAAATTAGTTGGGTATGGTGGTAAACACATGCGGTCCCAAGCTACTCAGGAGGCTGAGGCAGGAGGATGGCTGGAGCCTGAGTCAGAGGCTGCAGTGAGCCACGAGCACACCATTGCACTGTAGCCTGGGCGATACAGTGAGACCCTCTTTTTTCCTTTTTTGAGGTGGAGTCTCGCTCTGCAGCCAAGGCTGGAGTCTAGCGGTGCAATCTCAGCTCACTGCAACCTCCACCTCCTGGAAACCCTGACTCTCTTAAAAAAAAAAAAAAAAAAAAAAAAAAGATAAAATGGGGCCTCACCACGTGAGGTCAGACCGCCGCTGTTCACCTTCCTCCCATAGCAACTGCCTCCATGGCCATCGCTGTCCGTGCCCCGCCAGGCCCCGCAGCACCCTTGACCCCGCTGAGGCAACCAGAAGAGCCTGCTTAGAGCGCAGCTCCCTCTGGACTCCTCTCACCCCTCCCGGCCTCTGTGCTGCCCCGGAATGAGGAACAAGGCCCCAGCTCTTCTGCTGCTTGGACCCCTGTAGGCTGGGGCGCCTGGGGCCAGCAACACGGGGTGTGACCCCACAGGCTTCTGCACAGCAGCTCCCACTGCCAAGTGCCCCCTCTGCCATCCGTATCCTCCACAGACCTCCTCAGCCACAGCGGGGAGGCCATGGACCCCTAGAGTGACAGGCAGCCCCTTACCCATCTCCTTCGGGTGCAGGCCCCCCCACCCTCGCCCAGTACAGGGAAGGTTTCCAGGGGGCACTTGGCCTGCCCCTCGGCCGAGGTGGCCCTGAGCTGCTCACCCAGTGCCTTGCACAGCTCCGGGTGCTTCACCCCAATGGTCTTCAGCCTCTGCAGCAGCTCTGACGAGGTCAACTGCCGAACCAGGTACAGGGCCACGGAGTAGCTCTGGGGACAGAGGGGCGGAGTCAGGGCTGGCAGGGCGGGGGCCGGGGCAGGGGGGCAGGGTGGGCACCGAGCATGCACTCACCTTGCCGTAGTTCCCCCAGGTGACGGTGATGCGGTTGGTGGCCGAGGACAGGTACATGAGGTGGGTGAGGTTGATGGGGCGGCACGGCCTCTTGGGTTCCACCCCAGGCTTATTGGAGGGATAGTAGCCCTGCAAGCAGACAGACCGCTCAGCCTCGAGCCAAGAATGGCTGGAAAATCCAACAGCCCCCACCCTCCCTCCACGCCCCCCACCCTCCCTCCACGCCCCCCAAACCCGTGTAGCAGATGCGGGGCGGGCCGTGCTCACCGGGACTGAGCAGTAGCTGTGGTTGACCTTCACAGCGATGTTGGGCGGGTACTGGTCCTCCTGAGGGCAGCTGGTGTCTGAGTAACAGATTCTGCAACGACAACAGGGACCATGGGGCGGCAGGAGTGGGCGCACAGGAGGGGCTAGGCCGCTGTGGGGAACAATGGGGACCATGAGGCGCACAGGAGGGGCTGGGCCGCTGCGGGGGTACACAAGTGGGAGTCAAGTGGCGGTGATGGGGGCACTGGAGAAGGTGACATGGGGGGTATCGGGGCCCCCGGGTGTGGCCTGAGCAGGTGGTGGGATGGTGGCGTATCCCCAGACAGGGACAGATGGCAGGCTGGGGGGAGCTGGGCTCTGCTGTTGGCAGGGGAGACTGAGAAGAGCCTGGACCAGGACTGGGGGGCGGGGGGGAGGAGGGGCAGGTGGCCGGGGGTCCAGCCCTGGGGTCGTGGGCACACCTGGGCATACCTCAGGACGACCTGCACGGCTTTAACTCCGGGCTGCAGTTCTCTGTGGGTGTGGAGCAAACCAGAGGAAAGGAAAGGAGAGCGGAGTGAGGAAGGCGCAACCTCAGCCTGCCCCACAAGGTGGAGACCGCCACCCCACAAGGCTCCCTCCCCTAGAGCTGGGAAACTGAGGCCCAGGACTCTTTTGTGCAGGCCAGGTGAGACAGGAGTGGCTGTGGGGTCAGGAGAGGGGCTGGCCTCCCTGGAAAATGCAAGAGAATCGACCGCAAAACCCTGAACCAGAGAGGGCAGCCAGGTGCCTCTCACTGCGAGGAAACAGCTAAAACGTGCATGCTGGAATGTAGCAGCCAGCTCACAACGGCAAGAAAATGCCCAGTCTGCGAGGCCGAGGCCGGCGGAGCTCTTGAGCCCAGGAATTTGAGACCAGCCTGGGCAACATGGTGAAACTGTCTCTACAAAAAATACAAAAAATTATCCGGGCATGGTGGTGCACACCTGTGGTCCCGGCTGCTTGGAGGCTGAGGCAGGAGGATCGTCTGAACCCGTGGAGGCGGAGGCTGCAGTGAGCTATGATTGCACCACTGCACACCAGCCTGGGTAACAAAGAGAAACACTCTCCAAATTAAAAAAAAAAAAAAAAAAACCCAGTTAACACCTGAGAATAAACTTTAATAAGAAACATCACCAGGAGAAGAGGAAAAAGTCTCTCTACCCAAAGACGCATCCGTGGATGTTCACAGCAGAAATGACCACGACAGCCACAAAGTAGCAGCAGCCTGAGTGTCCTTCCACAGACGGAAGGACCAATACACACGGCACGTGACCCAGCCACGGAAAGGAGCCAGGCTGACCCGGGCCTCAGCACAGGTGCACCGTGAGGACGTCCCGCCCAGTGAGAGATGCCAGACACAAAAGGACACACAGGGCAGGTGGCTCACGCCAGTAACCCCAACACTTTGGGGGGCGGAGGTGGGTGGGTCAGCTGAGGTCAGGGGTTCCAGACCAACCTGGGCAACATGATGAAACCTCGTTTTTACTAAAAATACAAACATCAGCTGAATGCGGTGGTACATGCCTGTAATCCTAGCTACTCAGGAGTCTGAGGCAAGAGAATCACTTGAACCTGGGAGGTGGAGGTTGCAGTGAGCTGAGATCGCGACACTGCACTCCAGCCTGGACAACAGAGTGAGATTCCGTCTCAAATAATAATCATTTAAAAAAGCCACAGTGTGTGACTCCACTTCTACGAAATGTCTAGGACAAGCCCATTTACGGAGATAGGAGGGGATGCGTGGGGGCCAGCGGATGAAGGGTGGTGGCTGATGGGGATGGACACAATTGCTCCGAGACTAGGCAGTGGTGGGAACTGCACTACCTATTGATCCACGAGAACCCACTCAATGACACACTTAAAAACTGCGTATTCTATGGCATGCAAATCATATCTCAACGTAAGAAATACAAATGCGGGTTGGGCACGGTGGTTCACGCCTGTAATCCCAGCACTTTGGGAGGCAGAGGCGGATGGATCACGAGGTCAAGAGATCGAGATCATCCTGGCCAACATGGTGAAACCCTGTCTCTACTAAAAATACAAAAATTAGCCAGGCGTGGTGGCGCATGCCTGTAGTCCCAGCTACTCGCGAGGCGGAGTCAGGAGAAGAATATCGCTTGAACCCAGGGGGCGGAGCTTGCAGTGAGCCGAGATCGCGCCACTGCACTCCAGCCCGGCGACAGAGCGACTCCGTCTCAAAAAAGGAAAAAAAAAGAAAAGGAAATGTCCAGAAGCTTTCTGAGGAGAAACCCAAACTGATTTTTTTATACTGTGTGGCTGGCTCAAGCACCCCGCAGCAGGGACGCAGTGCGGGTGGAGCTGTGTGGACCCAGGTTCACAGACAAGGAAGAGGAGGAAGGTGACGTCACCACCTTGGGTCACCCAGGCAGAGAGGCCTCCGTGGCCAAGCCTGGCTCAGCTGGTTCTGAACCCTTACTAGGTGTGAGGGCCAGGCTGGGAGGCCCCGGGAACCTGGCCCCACAGCAAGTAGAGGCGGTGGGTCTGAAGCAGCTGAGCATGAGAAGCTGGGCATCAAATGGGGGCGCCCAGCCCAGCCCTGCCACGGACTCAGCGGTGACCTGGGCAAAAGGCCTCCCCTGTCCTGAGGGTCCAGCACCCACCATGAGGCTGCCCCAGCAAGAATCTGTCTCAGCTGGAGGCAGGACAGCCTGAGAGAGACTGAGGGAGGAGCAGAGCACCGGGCAGCCACACTGGCCCCTCACCTGCTAGAGTTCAACCGTCCTCATCTGAGGGCAGTGTCTGGGGACATCCGAGGGAACGATCCCACCTCACTATCCACGGTGCACAGGGGTAAACCCTGCGTTCATTATCTGAGAAAAAACCTGACTTTGGCCGGGCACGGTGGTTCACGCCTGTAATTCCAGCACTCTGGGAGGCTGAGGTGGGTGAATCACCTGAGTCAGGAGTTCGAGACCAGCCTGACCAACATGGCAAAACCCCATTTCTACTAAAAATACAAGAACAGCCGGGCGTGGTAGCGGGTGCCTGTAATCCCAGCTACCTGGGAGGTTGAGGCAGGAGAATCGCTTGAATACGGGAGGTGGAAGTTGCAGGAAGCCAAGATCGTGCCACTGCACTCCAGCCTGGGCAACAAGAGTGAAACTCAGTCTCAAAAACAAACAAACAAAACAAAACACCTAACTTCCTGCTCATGCTGGAACCAGAATAAATTCCGGATAAGGCGGGCGGTATAAACCAGGGACCCCAGCTCCCGGGATTCTCCTCCTCTCTCCCCCTCCAACTCAGGGTGTGGATTTCAATGTGTGCAGCCTTCTGGGACCTCAGTAGGGCAGAGGATTAGGGGACGCAGAGTCTCTTGGGGGTACGTGGAATCCAATAACCCAGGGAGGTCTCACCCGCGTTATCCTGCCCCAGGGGACACTGGACAATGTCTGGGGACATCTGTGGCTGTCACAACATGGGTGTGTTCTCGGCATGGAGTGGGTGGAGGCGAGGAATGCTACTCAGCACCCTGCAGCGCCCAGGATGGTCCCACATGCAGAGGGCAAGACCGTGTTAAAAGGGGACAGTCAGTCCGCCTCTCTCTAGCGGGCTGCAGGGTACAGGCAGTGGGCACACAGCCCAGCAGGTGACACTCAGGATGGGGTTTTCTGGAAGGCAGCGAACCCGGCCACTGCCTCGCAGCACGGTTCTGGACTGAGCCCGAGCCGGGCCTGCAGTGGGCGTGGCTGCCGGCTCTTCCAGTGAGCCCAGGAGAAAGCGGGCGGGCAGCAGGGCACGGGGCTGGGGGGGAGCCGCGCACCTGGAGTTCCGGATCAACTCCACCTGTCTTGGCGTCAATGCGAAGATGCACGGGCTCTCCTGAAGCTTCTCGTTGTTCTGTGGGACTAAAGACAAACACAGGGTCATGGGCATGTCTGGTCCCTGGCAGGTCCCCCGAGCCTAGTCGCTTTTCCCGGCCTTCTCCTCTTCAGATCAGGAAACAGGAAATGGGAAGCTGGCGGGACAGATATGTGGGGCAGAGGTGGGGGCCGCCCAGGGAGGAGGATGAGGGAGGAGAATGAGGGAGGACTCCCGCCCATCCCCTTCTCGGGGCCATTCACCACGGCCCGTGTCCTGTTGAGGGCCACTCAGAGAGCCAGTGCCCTTTGCAGCCCATGGGATGCAGGCGTCTATTTAGGAAGGCTGAAAAATGCCCAGCTGCCTGGGGGGAGAGCTGGACCCAGCCAGGCCTGCAGGACCTGCCATCCCTCCTCCCTCCTAAGTACAAAATGGACCCGGCCCTTGCTCTCCTCGTGCCTGCAAGGTGGCCATGGCGTCACATGGACAGAGGTGGCGCCGGAGGTACTGACGGGATGAAGGCCATGGCGCTCATAAGCCTGGGCCCTACCCTATTACTTACAACTGGACTGACGAGCAGAGGCGCAGTCAGAAAACACTGTTCTTTGTGTGTGTTTGTTTTGTTTTTGAGATGGAGCCTTACCCTGTCGCCCAGGCTGGAGTACAATGGCACGATCTCGGCTCACTGCAACCTCCGTCTCCCAGGTTCAAGCAATTCTCCTGCCTCAGCCTCCCAAATAGCCACCACGCCTGGCTAATTATTGTATTTTTAGTAGAAATCGGATTTCACCATGTTGGCCAGGCTCGTTTCAAAGTCGTGACTTCAGGTGATCTGCCCACCTCAACCTCTCAAAATGCTGGGATTACAGACGTGAGCCATTGCGCTCAGCCAGCCCCATCTTTTTTTTTTTTTTGAGACTTTGTTTCACCCTTGTCACCCAGGCTGGAGTGCAATGGCATCATCTCGGCTCACCACAACCTCCGCCTCGTGGGTTCAAACGATCCTCTTGCCTCAGCCTCCCAAAGCAGCTGGGATTACAGGCATGTGCCACCACGCCCAGCTAATTTTGTATTTTTAGCAGAGACAGGGTTTCTCCATGTTGGTCAGGCTGGTCTTGAACTCCCGACCTCAGGTGATCCGCCCGCCTTGGTCTCCCAAAGTGCTGGGATTACAGGCATGAGCCACTGCACCTGGCTGCCCCATCTCTTAAAAAAAAAACAGCAAGGTGTGGCGTCTCGAAAAAAAAAAAAAAAATTAGCCAGGCGTGGTTCAGGCACCTGTAATCCCAGCTACTTGGGAGGCTGAGGCAGGAGAACTGCTTGAAGCTGGGAGGTGGAGGTTGCAGTGAGTGGAGATCACACCACTGCCTGGGCGACAGAGCGAGACTGTTTCCAAAAAAACCCCCAAAACACAAAAACAAAAACAAACGAACGAAACTCTAGCTGAACAACAGAAAGACAGTGAGAACACAAAGTACCCACATCAGAAATGACAGAGAACCACAGCACAGACCCCACCGCTTTCTGGTCCAACAGGGGGAGAAAAGGTGTACCTTCATGCCAACGGATCTGACAACTCAGTGACAAATTCTTCCAAAGATGCACATTACCAGAACGGGTACCAAAAGATACAGGAAGTTTGAAAAGTTTGTTACCTGTTAAGGAATTTGGATCCATAATTAAAACCTTTTCTGAAAACTGCAGGTCCAGGTCGGGCACGGTGGCTCACGCCTGTAATCCCAGCACTTTGGGGGCTGAGGTGGGCGGCTCGCTTGAGCCCAGGAGTTTGAGGCCAGCCTGGGCAACACAGTGAGACCCTGTCTCTACAAAAATTTTTTAAATTAGCCAGGTGTGGAGGCGCGCACCACCTGTAGTCCCAGCTACCTTGGAGGCTGAGGCAGGAGGATCGCTTGAGCCCAGGAGGTGGAGGCTGCAGTGAGCCGTGATCGCACCACTGCACTCCAGCCTGGGCAACAGAACCAGACCCCATCTCAAAAAAAAAAAAAAAAAAGAAAAAGAAAAAGAAAAAGAAAACTGCAGGTCCATATTGGTGAATTCTATAAAACATTTTGGAAAGAAACCACATAAACTGTACGTAAACTCTTTCAAACAACAGAGAAGGAAAGAATACTACCTATTTTACAAGGCCAGCATAACTCTGATACCAAAACCTCACAACACGGCGTCAAGGACAGAAAATTACCAATAAATGCCCCTCACGAACACAGATGTAAAATCCTCCACAAAATATCGGCCAGTATTTCAGGCCCCTGCGATTTGTGTGAGAAATCTAAGACTGGTATAAATCCTCTCTACACACACAGGCCAGGCGCGGTGGCTCATGCCTGGAATCCCAGCACTATGGAGACCAAGGTGGGTGGATCGCTTGAGGTCAGGAGTTCAAGACCAGCCTGGACAATATGGTAACCCCATCTCTACTAAAAATACAAAAATTAGCCAGGCATGGTGACACACGCCTGTAATCCCAGCTACTCGGGAGGCTAAGGAGAATCGCTTAAACCCAGGAGGCGGAGGTTGCAGTGAACCGAGACTGGGTCACTGCACTCCAGCCTGGGTGACAGAGTGCGGCTCCGTATCAATAAAATAAAATGAGGTAAAATAAAGTAAAATATCTCTCTACACATCCACTAGCATGGCTAAAATGAAAAGACTGGCAACTCTACGAGGTGGCGAGGGTGTAGAGCAAACTCTCTGCTGGTGGGGTTATAAGACAGTACAATCACTTTGGGAAACTGCCCTTTTAAAGGTAAGCACAGACCTACCCCAGCACCCAGGAATCCCACTCAAAGTATTTTCCTTCAGTAAATGGAAACATGCATTCAGAGACTTGCAGGCCGGGTACGGCAGCTCATGCCTGTAATCCCAGCACTTTAGGAGGCCAAGGTAGGAGGATCGCTTTAGCACAGTAGTTGGAGACTAGCCTGGGTAACACAGTGAGACCTTGTCTCTAAAAAACCATTTTTAAATGAGCCTGAGCCAGGTGTGCTGGTGTGCAGCTGTCATCCCTGCGGCGCAGGAGGCTGAGGCGGGAAGATTGCTTGGGTTCAGAAGTGTGAGACCAGCCTGGGCAACACAGCAAGACTGTGTCTACGTTAAAAAATATATTTAGACGTAAATCAAAAACACTGAGCGGCATGTATGCCCTGCCATCGCTTGTGTAACGAAAACGGAGGGAAGGAATCTGAGTAAATGCCTATTTGTCTATAAGTGTAAAAAAATATCGGAGGAGCGTGGGGGAGAGAGAATCTGGCCACAATGGCAGCCTTGGAGTGGCCGGGAGACAAGATGACGGGCAAGCCCTTCAGAACAAGGACGGCGAACTGCCCTGGTAAAGGCTGGAGTTCATCAGCTTCGCAGGCCACACTGTCTGTGTTATGAGCAGAGACTGCCCGGTCCTGGAAAGGTGCTCCCAGGATGGCAGTGCACACAGCAGTGTGGCCTGCACCTATGACAAGGGCCTTTACAAGAACCGGAGCCGTGGCATAGGACCTCAACTGCCAGCACCGTCTTGGAACTTTCTCAATTAAAACCCATGAGAACGGGTAACGATGTAAAAAGTACATCTGCTTTAGGCTCAGAAGCTCAGACTGCCGGCTGGGTGTGGTGGCTCACGGGAAGCCCAGCTACTCGGGAAGCTAAGGCAGAATGGCGTGAACCCAGGAGGTGGAGCTTGCAGTGAGCCGAGGTTGTGCCACTGCACTCCAGCCTGGGCCACAGAGCAAGACTCTGTCTCAAAAAAAAAAAAAAAAAAAAGAAGCCAGACTGCCTGGGCTGGGATCCCAGCCCTGCCAGGGCCTTTGTGGCCTGAGCCTGCATGTCTGGCCCATGCTGACCCGTTTCTGCGGGAACCGGTGCCGGGTCTGTGGCTGGCCCTCAGGAAGAGGGTGCTACCGCAGCAGTGGTGTTGCCACAAGGGCCACAGTGCCACAGCCTGTTCCCGTTTATGTGCTGAGGGCACAGCCAGTCTCTGCAGAGGTGATGGGCTGTGGATGCCCAGCTGGGCCCCTGAGGAAGGCCGCCTAATTGGGAGGGTGGGGCACACAGGCCACCTGTAGACGCGCCCAGATCTGCCCCAAGCGCCGGGGAGCAATGGTTCGGGGCAGGGAGGCCTCACAGGAGCCGACACCTGAGCTGGGCCTTGAGCTTCCAGGCTGGGTCAGAGGTGAAAACACGGACACTCCACCCCTCAGTGTCTCAGGAGGAATTAGGGGAGGAGGGTGGGTCCCCAATAAGCAGCAAGTCCATGCCTGGGGCAGAAAGGGCCCAGTCATTGAAGACCAAAACTCTGGGGTCCTTGCCCCGGGAGGCTCCCTCTGGGGGAGGCCAGGCTGTGCTTCTCTGCTGGGGACCCGGGAGATGCCCTGTGCTCTGACTGCTCTGCTGTGCTACTCGCCCCAGGCCGCTCACGGATCCCCCCAAACACCTGGCCCCCCTCTGCTGGGGAAGGGGCTGTGGCTGGCCCTTAGGAAGAGGGGCTACCGCAAACCTCCTCTTCTGCCCTCGGGGTCAGCTGTTTGGGGCCAGAAACCCAGGTGGCATCCACGCAGCCCCCGCCTCTGCTGTCCTGCAAACATCCACTCCCCCAGCCAGTCCTGTCAGTTCTGCTTTCAAATGCCACCCGACGCGGACACCTGCCCCCAGCTCTGCTGGTCTCAGCAGCCAGAGCCTGCTCCCTGGGCTGGCTCTGCAGGAGACCCCTGGCCCTCAGCACCCCTGTTCAGGGCCACACCCACCCTGGCCTCCTGCCTGGGCCCTACCAGCCATGCTGCCTCGGGGACTCTGCACACGCCATTCCCTCTTCTGGAACCTTCCTCTCCCGACCAGCCTCATGGCCCTATATTTGTCTTTGCACAAATGTAACCAGAAGGAAAGGCTTCCCTGAGCACCTCATTTAAAAACTGCACCCCCCGCCCCGCTTTTCTCCAAACCTTCTCCCTCCAAGGATCGACTCAGTTCCCCTGCATCACTCTGCTGCTCCTTCTTGTTGGGCCATTGAAGCATGAAGTTCCCCGAGGGGGAGACGGTTTCGTGGACTGCCCGGCACCCACGGGCCACAGGACCAAGGCACAGGCGCTGCTGAACCAGATGCACCTTTGCGGCCAGGTGCGAGGCTGGGCCCTGCCAGGCAGAGCCGGTTCTGGGATGAGGTGCCCAGCCAGGCCCTCCAGCCCGGGCATGCAAAGCAGCCCATGGGCCCAATCCGAGAGCCCAACAAGAAGGGCCCAGCCGCTGGCTCCACCCAAGGCTGCCAGGGAGCCTCGCGAGATGCTGCTGACATGAATATTTAACGCCAGGAGCAGATGCTCACAGCATGGGGGGTGGTTATAAAACAGCAGCCAGGACAGCCACACGCTCCTACAATCACACAGGCAAAGGGGGAAGGCGGCAAGCACGGCCCGCTGCGCTGAGGCGGCCCGCTCGGGCAGCAGGGCGCCAGCCGGGCTGCTCTGCTGTTGACTCCAGTTTTCTGGGACAGGCGCATCATTGTGCAAGTGTAAATAGAAATGAAACACGGGGAGATTTTAAAAGGCTGATCGGGGCCGGGCGCGGTGGCTCACGCCTGTAATCCCAGCACTTCTGGGAGGCCGAGGCGGGCGGATCACGAGGTCAGGAGATCGAGACCATCCTGGCTAACACGGCGAAACCCCGTCTCTACTAAAAAATACAAAAAACTAGCCGGGCGCGGTGGCGGCGCCTGTAGTCCCAGCTACTCCGGAGGCTGAGGCAGGAGAATGATGTGAACCCGGGAGGCGGAGCTTGCAGTGAGCCGAGATCCGGCCACTGCACTCCAGGCTGGGCGACAGAACAAGACTCCATCTCAAAAATAAAAAAATTTTTAAAAAGCTGATCGGATGGGACCATTCTGCCTCCAGCTGGCCCATGTGCTGGCCCCCTCCTCCAGGCTGTCCCCTCCCCAGCACATACAAGTTCTCTAACTCCCAGCCCCGCCCTGTCCAGCTAAGAGCTACCAGCACCAACTCCCCACCCCAGGTCCCCCAGATCAAGAGTAGAGGCAGCACAGTCAGGTATGAGGGACACAGGGGGCACTGTCCTGGAGGGGTGGGGAACAGGTGCCCCTGGCTAGGCACAGGGGGCGGTGCTGACAGCTCCACCCATCAGCGAGAACATTCACAGGCTGCCATGGGAGGGGGACCAGTGGGCAGGAAGCAGAGCAGGAGGCTGTGGCCGGCGGGCAGGTGGGGAACTGGGCTGGGCAGGGCAGGGGCCACAGGGGACAGGAGAAGGACCAGTGGGATGTGGGGGTGGCTGCCAGCAGTCCCCCAGTTGGTAGCGGTGGGCCCATCCCTCCTCCTCAACCAGAAGGCCCGGACCTGGGGCAGAGCTGGTGGAGTCCCCTTGTTCCCCAATCATAGGCACGGGAAGTGCCAGCGGGCCGAGTGGGTCAGACTACCCTACACACGGGACAGTGACACAGGATGCCCCGTGCCCCCCAGGCTCCCAGTGTGCAGACAGACAGATGGTGGGCCTGGGCGGGCAGCAGGCCTGGCTGTGGAAGGCAGGTGGCCACTTGCCTCCTGCACCTCTCAGTTTTCTCACTGACCCCCAAAATCACACCAGAACCTCAGGGGCGCTGCAGCCCTCGGGGAAAGCAGGGTAGCTTCCAACCTTCCCTGGACCCACCATTCTCGGGTTCCAGCCTCTGCCGCCTGCACCCAGGCTGCTGCGTCCCTCCTCCTGGGCACACCACACTCTGGCCACAATGGACTCCATTCAGCCCTGTGAATGAGCCCTCTCTGGCCATCGGCCTCTGCCCTCACTGCCCTCTGCCTGGAGTACACTCCTCTGCCCCCTCCCCTCTGCCCAGAGTACACTCCCCTGCCCCCCATCTCTGCCTGGAGTACACTCCTCTGCCCCCTCCTCGCTGCCTGGCTTCTTGGGAATCACCCTCAGGTCTGGACTGGAAGCTGCTGCCTCCAGGAAGCCTTCCTGACTGCTACCTCCTCCCAAATGTACAGTGAATGGCTCCCGCTACTGACAGCTGCCCCTGAAAGCCCTCTGCCAGCCACGAGACACTCATCACCTGGCACTTCTGTGTGGCACCTGAGCAGGGACCATGCTACCTTGCTGTGGCCTGGGCAATGCTCACCCAAGGGCTTCAGAGACTGAAGGGCACATGTGTCTACACACAGCACAGCACATGCCCGACTGGCAGCTCTTGGCTAGTGCCAGGGCTTCCTGCCTCTGGGGGCGTCTGAAGCCGTGGCGACAGGGGCTCCACTCTGCACAGCAGGCGGGCAAGCAGGCAGATTCCTCGGGGTGCCCGCTGTGGGCCGAGGCCCTGGAGAAGCAGCTCTGTGCCCGGCCAGCGTGTGTCCTTCCTTCCGCCCCACATCTCCTGACAGCCTCTCTTCCCATGTGCCCTGACAGGAGGGTCAGGCCCCCTAGCCGGACTCCCCAGGTGGTGCAGGCTGGGAAGCGGTGGGGCGGGCTTCCTTGCTGAGAGGCAGGACAGGGTCCCCAGCCTTCGCGAGGTCCAGGCCAGAGCCTCTGCTCAGAGGCAGGACCCAGTCGGCTCAGAATAAGGGAAGGCAGGCCGCTGTGTGACCTTGGGCCATTCTCCGCACTGTTCTGGGCGCCAGCCCCGTCCCCACACATGGTACCTCCCACTGGAGCCGATCATCTGTGGCCCGAGGCCCCCGTAGCCTGCTCTGCAGCTCTGTCACCCCCTCCCCCAGCCCAGCATTCCGCGCCACGTGATTTATGGCTCCCGTCCGCCTGGCGCAGTCTCCATCCTGGAGCCGGCCGGCAGCTATTCCGGGGAAACAGACCAGAGCAGTGGGCCTCACGCTGGCCGGTGGGTCACAGCCAGAGGCGGGGGCAAGGGGGAAGCCGGTGGAACTGGGTCCTCCTGAGGCGGTCCCCCGCAAGGCCAGCACCACAGAGTGCACCCTGGGGAGGGACACAGCCCAGGGTTGGGGTGGAGGAATGGCATCTCAGGCCCTGAAACCAAGGGGAGCACTGCTTTGGGGCCAGGGTCTATGCTCCAGGAAACCTCTGAGGACCCAGGCATTCCCCGGGGGGGTCCCCCAAGAGCATGGGAATCCAGGAAAGGAGGTTCACCTGGTGGCCTAGGATGGAGAGGGGGCCAGTGGGAAGGAGAGGCAGGGTGGGGTTGGCCTCTTTGTTCTGAGCCGCCAGCAGAGTCATACTGGTGTAGACCGGGGAGCTGGCTCTCCCGGAGATCAGGTGACCGGGGTCCCTGGGGGCTCAGGGCACAGTGATGCATTGTGGGATGGAGCTACTGGTCCCCGTGCAGGAAGGAAGACAGTCAGCCCCGTACCCCGCCCTGGACTAAGCCTGCCCTGCCGCTCCCGGGAAAGCCCAGCCTCCCTGTGATGCAGGTCCTTCCCAAGGCCCAAGCTTCAGAGATAGCCAGCTCTGCCCAAGAACCCGCCAGGGGGAACCGCTTCCCTCGTGAGGCAGCAAAGGCCGGGAAAGTCAGGCCAAGGCCCCGAGTCTCCCAGGACAGGTGCTGCTGGGCCAACCTGCTCCCCAGGAGGCTGCCGCTAGACACCTCCTGCAAAAGAAAAAAGGTGGAGGCGGAGCCTCACTTGGAAGGCGGAGCCTCAGGCTGGAGGGAGGAGCCTCACTGTCTCAGGAACCACCAGCAGCATCTTCCTACCTCCTCCACCTCCTCCACCTCCTCCAACCTCACTTGGAAGCCCAGCCCCTCCAACCTAACCTCACAAAGTCCCAGGGCTGTAGGTGGGAGGGGAATGGCGGCCAGTTCCCCTTCCCCACACCCCCATTGACCCTGCCTCCCGGGGCAGGGGAGTGGGGCCAGCTGGCACCCAGTGGACTGAAGCGTGCCAGAGAGGAGCCCTCAGGCCACAGCAGGGACCAGGCAGGTCGCTGGGTCAGCAGGGTGGGAGGGGGCGTGCAGAGGCTTCCTGAACCTCGCGGCCTTGGTTCCGTTCCCTGCTGCGTGTCCATGCCTGGTGCCCATCACGCACCCACCCAGCAGGCACTCCCACGTTTACTGCACTCCGACGTTTACTGCGCGACGTTTACTGCGAAGGAAAGAGTGGGGGCAGGGGAAGGGAGGCAGGAAGAAGAGACCTCCAGGCACACAGAGGACCTGGTAAAATCTGAGCGCCTTGGGGCACAGGTCCGCAAAAGGCCCAGGATGTTCCGCTCCCTAACTGGGAGTCCCAGAGGCTGCACACTCTCCCTGCCCTGGGGGCTGGGGCTGCTCTGGCCTCCCTGGCCCTGAGCTCAGGGCTATGGTTGAGGCAGAGACCGGGCTTGATACCCACCTGCAGCCTGAATGGTCACGGCTGCTGGGAGGCGCCAGGGGCCTGTCCACACTGCTGCGGGCTGCGAGGTCCTGACACACTCCTGCTCAGTCAGTGCTTGCAGACAAAGACATGAGAGAGAGAAGCGTGGAGCCCAGCACCTCTCCTCTGCCTGGGATCGCCCTGAGCCCCCAGCACGCCTGGCAGTGACCTGAGCCCGCTGACCAAGGCCATACCTGCAGGCTGCCAGCGAGGAACCAGAGCCTGGGGGAAGGAGGGAAGGCCGATGCCACTGGCCAGCCCCCTTTCCATGGGGAATAAGCAGGGAAACCAGGTTCCCAGGTGACCCTGGTCACCCTTGGCCCTGGCAGTCACAGCCTGGTGTGGTCCCTGCCTGTGCCACAGAGTCTGTGAGCAATGGACTCCATGGGGGAGACGGCAAGGCGTGTCCCAGGCTGGGTCATAAAAAGGGCTCCAGCTCCCAGCTGGACGTGCACGCTCGCTACCCTAGGGTGAGGGAGCCACCAGGCTGAGGAAGCCCGGGCAGCCCGTGCAGGAGGCCGCACAGTGAGGACCTGGGGACGACGGCCAAAAGCCGGTGAGGAGCTGCAGCCTGCCAGCCACCACACGAGGAAGTGGCTGCTCCAGCCCTGGTCGAGCCTCCGGATGAGGTGGCTCCGGCCTGACTGAGCCTCATGAGAGCCCCCGAGCCCCAACGCCCCGCAACGCGGCTCGCTGGTTCCTGAGAGCTAACAGACACCCACTGCTCCATTTCAGGGTAACTTGTACCACAGCAAGGGGTGACCAATATCAAAGATGGTCCCTTTGCTTCCAGGGAAGGACAGCCCTGGCCACCGTGGCTCCCGCCCTGGCCGCGCCAGAGAACATCACCAAAGGTGGGCTGCGTGGCTGGGCTGGGCGACAGGGCCTAGGTGAGGCCTCCCGTCGCAGCCTCCCCGGGGCGGCCACTCACCTAACTCGGTGGGCTTCAGCAGCTCGTCCAGCATGTTAAAGAAGGGCAGCTTCACCAGGCGGACTTCTGGCTTAAGGGTCTTGGCGGGTAACCGTCCCAGTCCGTTTAAGTACTTCCCATAGAGCACGGGGTAGTCAATATTGGGGCCTGCCAGCGGAGTCCTGGGCACAGCGCCGGCCCGGTCGTAGGTGGAGTGCATGGTCAGGGGGTCCAGGGGCCGGTGCGGCTGCTGGGCAGGCTCCGAGTTCTTCTTGGCGTAGCGGGTCTCGTACAGCTCCTTGATCTTTTTGAACAACTCGGGGCTACAGTCAAACTGCACCAGCTGGAGGGCCCTGGTGACGAGCTCGTGCTTCAGTCCGCTCTTACTCCGGCCCACGAAACCCAGGAGCATCTGAAGGTCGGAGACTCGAAAACTCATCACCATGTTCTGAGGAGGAGCAAGCACACACAACTCAGAGGGCAGAGCTGCGAGGCAGGGGACTCCGCAGAGGCCAGGCCCTGAGGCGGGGGCCGTGAGAGACACCCACTCGCCAGGAAGCGCCAGCCTTGGCTGGGGCTGGTGGAGTGCCCTGCCCCTACGGTGCCCCCTCCCAGCAAAGCCCTGCCCCCTCCCTCCTCCTCATCAAACTTTCCCCAGCATCGCCAACGCAGCAAAAGCGCCTCTGACTAGGCCCCCCTTCTATTTTAGGTTCTCTTTCCCTGTCTTCAGCCTGAAAGCATCCCCAGGGCAGGAACTGGGAATCGTGCTTTACTTGTAAACGGCCTCTGCCAGTGCCTTGCCGACAAACACCAAGTGCCTCTCTGACCCTCAGTCTCTTCGTCGGGAGGATAATGACATAAAGCACTGGCTGGGCGGGCGCTCAACCCTTGTCAGCCACAGACATGTTTTCCCTTCGGTCTCGCCAACGGTAGCCACAGTTTACTTAGCACTAATCACCTGCCGGGAACCAAGTCGGTCATGTGATTATATATTTAACTCTGATCCTTAAAACACCCCTGCTAGGCTGGTGTGTGAGCTCTGTCACAAAAGAACTGTAGGCTCAGAGGTGGCAGTGCCAAGATTCAAACCCAGACCTGGCTCTGAAGCCAGGGGCGGTCCCTGCTGCCACACTCTCCTCCGGACAGCAACACAGGGCCGGGCCTGTGGGGGCCTCCGAAACGTCTACCCATCATTCCAGCAGGGTTTCGTCCCCTCAGCCCTGTGGACGCTGGGGCCGTCCCGGGCACTGTGGGGTGCTAAACACCCACAGTTCATGACAACCAAATACATCTCCAGACATCGCCCTGAGTCCCTGGGGGACTGGTCCGAGGGGAAGGCAGCAGCCACAGGGGCTGTTGCGGGACCTGGGCCAAAGTGACGAATGAGGCTTGGCAGGACCTGGCCCTCATCCCCCGACAGTACCTCTCCAGCGAAATCAAACCAAACAACAGAGCCCAGCTGACCCTAGTGTTTGATGTGGGGTAGCCTGGCAGTGGCCTCCCCTCCATGAGGGGTAGGACCATGAAAGGGAAAGAGGGCTCAACAGGCTGCAGAAGCCAGGTGTCCTCGAGGGATGGGCTGGCAGGGTTTCGGGGCCACCCACCCTCAGCCCTGAAGCTGGCCTGGGATGAATGAGATGTGGTGGGAAAGAGAAACTTCCAGGAGGAATGGAGAAAAAGCTCAAGTGTCAAGGGTGGTAAGCAAAGCTGGCAGGCACCCGAAGAAACCAATAAGTCATCCAAACTCCACTCGAAAGACCCTGAGGGTCAAAGCCAGAGGCAGTCCCACTGGAGTGTCTACACTGCGGCCTCCGTGCCAGGAAGTGCTGGGGTTTCCAGCTCCCGGCTGCCCCAGGGTGAGGCCAGGAGCCTAGCCGCCCATTTCAGCACCAAGGCTGCAGCAGCCGGGGCCGCTGGCGGGGTCCTCATCTGTCAACTCTGATTCCTTCCAGCTGTACCAGGCCAGGATCCTGCTGGAGACGAAGAGGCTGTCCCGGCTCAAAACGACAGGGACGCACGTGTGGGTGGCCCAGTCCTGCCCTAAGAGCCTCGGGAGAAGCCTCTTCCCGTATCAGGGCTGCGCGGCCCCGTGACCGTGAAGAACCGGGATGCCAGCGTCTGCTCCCTGCCAGGCACCAGCGAGGCCTATGTCGCTAATTTCACAATGACCACACCCATCGTGTAGGTGAGGAAACCGAGGCTCACAGAGAGAAGTGGCTGGCCCAGAGCCTCCCTAGTACATGCATGGGACTGGCATCGGCCCCTCGGCCCCTGGGCTCCCCAGGGTGTTCCCGTCCGCTGCCGGGGACCCTCACTCACCAGCACACTGGCTATGGGGACCTGCGTGGTCTGCTGGGCCTCAGAGTCAGTGATGCTTTGAAAACAAAAATGCCTCACCTCCCTTGGCCTGACTTCCTACCTTGTGCAGAAAACACAAAGGCTTGCGGACAAGATGTTTCTTCTGGAAGTGGCCCAAGGCCTTAGCAGGGAGAGACGATGTCATGTGGACACTTCACACTGGCAGCCTGGTCGAAGGCAGGTGGGCTCAGGAACCTGCTGACATCCTGGCACCCCGGGAGCCTCCGCCCCGCCCAGGCTGGACAGTGGAGCCCCAGCTCCCACTTCCCGGAGCACACCCCTTAGGCGGCCATATGTTCACGACTCAGATTTCCCGGCAGCTGCCACCTCAGAGGAGCCTGCCCTTGACACTGGAGGGAATGCGGGGGGGACAAGCATTCAGGAAGAAGCCCCAAATGCCCCAGGATCACTTCCTGCCCTGGCTCTGAGCTGACCTGCCTGCCGTCAGAGCTGTGTTTATAAACAGCGCCAGGCCCCGGCAGCTTCCAGAGTTTCAACTCCAGGCTTGCCTGGAAGTCGCGTGGGGAGACATCAGCTGAGACACAGCAGCTGCGCTGAACCTCTCCTCTAGCACAGGCCCCTCGGAGCGCTGGGGGAAGCTCAGGAAGGCGCCTCTTTCCAGGAAAGTGGAGATGTGTGCTGCGGACTATTTCAGGGAGCTCGCAGACACCCCTGCCCCAAACCTGCCTCCAGGTCTCAAGCTGAGAGTCTCAGATTTCAAAGTTCACCAACAAGCCCCCAACATTCGTCCCTCCGAGCAGTCTGTGATGCACCCCAAAAGACAGAATCTGCAGCCATGAATATGACAGGCTGGGGAAGGCCCCTGTAAAAAAGGGGGATGTTTCAATGACATTTAAGGTACTTAGAGGGGTAGCAATGGACTCAAGAAGAAAGAAGGCTCCCCAGGGTCCAGGCCCCCTTGAATGGAAGCTCACGGTTTAGAGAACCTGAAAGAAGGATCAACTTGATTTAATTGAGGTGGGGGGACCTAGTCACCAGAGGGTCAAGGAAAGTTCATCAGATCATATTTCAAGGCCTGGATGGTACAAAAGAGTGCAGACCCTGCCCTCAGGCAGGGTGGGGGTGGGGAGTCCAGGGTCACAGCTCCAAGTCCAGAAAGGAGGTTACATTTCAGGACTCCAGGGCACTTCAAGCCCAGAGCCTGCCACCTCGGGTTTACAGAGTTTAGGCCTCCACATCTCCAGGGCGAGTCTCCACTTTTCAAAACTCTAGAGAGGGACAGAAGTGTGTGCGGGGCGGGGGAGAGGGGCAGGGTTGGGAGGCGAAGAGAGGTGTATGCTGTAATCACAGAGCCCTGAGTGCTGTGTTTTCAGATCCCAGTGGGTAATGTGAGAGGACTGAGAAGAAAATATGTACAGGTCAGGACTGTGGGGAGGGAAGACGTGAAGAGGGATGGGGGAGGGAGAGGTCCCCTAACCTCCCTGGAAGCCGTGGTTTTGCGGGCACTTCTAAGGGTTTTAGACCCTCAGCTTTAGGCAGGCACCTACAAGAAGGTACATCCCCTGGAATGCGGATACTCGGAGCTCAATCCTAGGATTAAAATGGGTTCCAAGTTAGGAGATGGTATCTATGGGACATGGGACCTGCACAGGATCCGTAGTATAAAAGACTAGCAGCAGAAGTTATTCTAAAGAGGCCAATCTTGGACCCAGTGGGGACCCTCCAGAGATCAACATAAGAGAATAGGCAGAAAGACAGGAGACCTTAAAAACCAAAGCTGGGGTGCATAAAGATTCTGGGGGCTGTGTAGGGAGGGAGAGTGTCTGACCTAAAAAGTAGACTCGCTCAAGAACAGAAAATAAGAGAAGCACCCAAGGTTTGAAGACAGTATCTGATGCTGCACAGGTAAGGTTTAGAGGCCCCTGAAGCAGAATTAGTAGCCTTAGATTCTGTCCCAACGGGAATGAGGTAGGACCAAAGCACAGTCCAGGATTTAAGATTAAAAAAAAGGAGAATAAGGAAAGTCTTTGACCAAGAAAAGTGGTCAGGACTCCATTCTATGGGGAGGGAAAGAGGGGGCCCAGTCTTCCCCAGCGCCCACTCCAGCGTGTGAGAGACGGTGTCGGGAAGGGGGCGGGGTTCTGGGACCAATGCAGGAGCTGCAGAGGGGCTCAAGCCCGAGCCTGGACTCCAGACCCCAAGAGGACGTGCTGTGTCTTGGAGGTGGCCTCAGGGCCCTGACTCCTCTACCTGGACTGTGGCAGGACACTCTCCGGGACTCAGGGGACCCTTCCAAGCAGGAGACTCGCAAACCCCAGTCTGGCCTGTTGGGCGGGGACGAGACCCAGATACCATTCTTGGGAGCCCTGCGGGCGGGGAGGCGCAGACACTCCCCCCTACACACCAGCCAAAGAGCAAAGACCCCGGCTCGGAACCAAGAGAGCAACGAGAAGCTCAACACGTCCCGCAGCCCGGGAGAACGGTGCCTCAACCGGGAGGCGCGGCCCTGGCCTGGCGCTTAGGGACCGGGACTCCAAGGGCTCGGGCTGGGTGGGGGGGAGCCTGCCTGAAGCCGGGGAAGCGACCCCCGGAGCGAAGACCCGGGTGAGGCAGGAGGGCCCCGCCCCCGGCCTCCCCGCCCCCCGCCCTCACCCTGAGACCCGGGGTCGGGGTCTGGGGGCCGGGACCGCGAGCCGCGGGCCGGCCGCGCTGTGGGGCCCCGGACGGAAGGCGCAGACCTCGACCTGCGGCCCGGCCCCCGCCCTCTCGCCCACTTGCCCCGGCCGGTTCCGCCGCCGCTCACTCACTTTGGCCTCCACCAGCTCCGCCGCCATCTTGGCCACCAGCGTCCCCCGCGCCGGGAGCCCCCAGCCGTCGCGTCACGTGACCGCCCACCACTCGCGGGCGGGGCCGCCACCCAAGCCAATTAGCACCCGCGCGCGCTCCTCCCGCCGCCCGTGCGCGCTGTTGCGTCCTGCGCAGGCGCGCGCGGCCGCCGCCCGGGCCTCGGGCCAATCAGGTCTGCCCTACACCGGCCCCTCCCCTCCACCCTTCTTCTCTCGCTCGCGGCGACCACGCCCACCCTTGGCGGCGTCTGACTCCTTAAAGGGGTACGAGCCCTGCGCAGGTGGGGACGGGTGCTGGGTTGCCTCTAGGGAGGGAGGGAGGGCGGGAGGGGGCGGTGGCAGTGACAACAATGCGACCAGGTGCCGTGGCTTCCTGCGCGCGGCGGCCGCCAGGTGCGTGTCCAGACTCCCGGCGGCGTCGGGCAGGGAATGGTTGCTCCGCCGCAGCAGTCGCCAGTGCGTGCAGTGCGACGCCTTGCAGCGCCGCGTGGTGCACGCTCCACGGGCCCCGACGCCCCGCGCGCTGCACATCCGGGTCCTGGTGTGCAGATGGGGCGTGGGCTCGGCACCCAGTTGGCTGGGGGCGCCAGGCGGAGAAAAGCGAGACACCTGCTTCCAAATTCTTCGGAGATCGTGCAGCCCTCACGTCTTTGCACCCTCCCATCCTGCCTCCCCACCCATGGGAAACCTTGGATCTGCACCAGCTGGGACCTCTCCTGCTCCAAAGCGCCCCTTGGTTGGCTTTGGAGCCGAGTGGCTTAGTGCCCGTAGAAGTGGAGTTCAAACTTCAGTAATGAAGTATTTTAGTGCATTTATTTTTTATTTTTATTTTTGTAGAGACGAGAATCTCACTATGTTGTCCAGGCTGGTCTCGAATGTCTGGGTTTAAATGATCCTCCTGGCTGGACCTCCCAAAGTGCTGGGAATACAGGTATGAGTCACCACACCCGGCTAGTCCAACATTTTAAACTTAGAAAAACCAATGCAAAAGAGTCCATGATGGATGAAATACCAAATTGTTATTTATTTATTTATTTTCGAGACAGAGTTTTACTTTTGTTGCCCAAGCTGGAGTGCAATGGCACGATCTTAGCTCACTGCAACTTCCATCTCCCGGATTCAAGGGATTGCCCTGCCTCAGCCTCCCAAGTAGCTGGGATTACAGGTGACTGCCACCACGCCCAGCTAATTTTTTTTTTGGCCAGGCTGGTCTCGAACCCCTGACCTCAAGTGATCTGCCCGCTTCAACCTCCCGAAGTGCTGGGATTACAGGCATGAGCCATCATGCCCGGCCTGTTTTGTTTTGTTTTGTTTTTTGAGAGTCTTGCTCTGTCGCCCAGGCTGGAGTGCAGTGGAGCAATCTCCGGTCACTGCAACCTCTGCCTCCTGGGTTCAAGCGATTCCCCTGCCTCAACCTCCCTAGTAGCTGGGATTACAGGTGTGCACCACCGTACCCAGCTAATTTTTGTTTTGTTTTGTTTTGTTTTTGAGATGGAGTCTCACTTTCACCAGGCTGGAGTGCAGTGGTGCCATCTCAGCTCACTGCATCCTTTGCCTTCCAGGTTCAAGTGATTCTCCTGTCTCAGCCTCCTGAGTAGCTGGGACTACAGATGGGCACCATCACACCCAGCTAATTTTTGTATTTTTAGTAGAGATGGAGTTTCGCTATGTTGGCCAGACTGGTCTACGAACTCCTGACCTCAGGTGACCCACCTGCCTCGGCCTCCCAAAGTGCAGGGATTACGGGTGTTAGCCACCGCGCCCGGCCTGAAATACCAAAATTTGAAGTAAAGAGCCAGACATAGGGGTGTGAGCCTGTAGTCTCAGCTACTCAGGAGGCTTAGGCAGGAGGATTGCTTGAGCCCAGGAGTTCGAGGCTGCAGTGAGCTTTGATCATGTCACTGGGCGACAAAATTATCGGACACGGTTGTTTTGGACTAAGCTCTTGCACTAGGCACCAACAGACTGGAATAAACAAAACACAGCTACTCACACTCAGATTGTAAGTCACCACGACAAAACTAAGTTGTTATCTGACCTTTGGGGAAATCAGGAGGGAGCCCTATCAGCCAATTTTCTTTTCTTTTCTTTTCTTTTCTTTTTTGGAGGAGTCTCGCATTTGTCGCCTAGGCTGGGATGCAATGGCGCAATCTCGGCTCACTGGAACCTCTGCCTCCCAGGTTCAAGCGATTCTCCTGCCTCAGCCTCCTGAGTAGCTGGAATTATAGGTACCTGCCACCACACCCGGCTAATTTTTTTGTGTTTTTAGTAGAGATGGGTTTTCGCCATGTTGGCCAGGCTGGTCACGAACTCCTGACCTCAGATGATCCACCCGCCTTGGCCTCCCAAATGCTGGGATTACAGGCGTCAGCCCCCACTGCCCGGCCAGTCAATTTTCCAAACAGGCCAGTTTCAGTCTTCAGTGGGCAATGCTCTGAAGTTCCCTCTGCTTAATTGCTTTAATCCTTATACAAAAAAAACTAGCCTGAAACAACCTAATGGTAACTAATGACTTAACACATTCTTTGCTGTTGGGTTTTTTGTTTGTTTGTTTGTTTTTGAGATAGGGTTTCTGTTTCCCAGGTTGTCGTGCAGTGGTTTAATCATGGTTCACTGCAGCCTTAA